TGTCTGTTATGGCAGTGAGATATTCCAAGTGTTGAACTGCTTGACATGAGTATTATTTCTGTCTGCCTGGATGGAGGCATGCGTACTGGTTCTTCAGTTACCCTTCTGGAAATGGTGCTGGGATGGCTGTCAGGTCATTGCAGGCATCATCCCATGGAAGTTTCAATCCAGCAGCACAACAGAAATGCTATTTCAGCATTCCAGAGTTTTGTAACAACTCTGTGAGCATATTGGAGGTCTTGTCCACTTGTTGGGACTCCTGGGCACACGTTGTTTAGCCCTTCTGGCTTTTTAGGTGGATTTCTCATACTGGTGATGTTTAATGGGTTCTTTAGCTCCTGTTAGGGCGTGATTCTTTGTGATACGCATGCATCACTGTGTTTCTATCCAAATACAAATGGGAAGCATTCGTTGTACATTTGCCTTTTCTGTGTCGCAGTCCCATTTAAAGCTTCAAGGCATGCAGCTCTAGGGATCAGACACATACTGCTTCCAAATGTATGTACCATAAAAAGATGTCTGTGCATGCAGAAAACTGCTGCCTTCTCAAAATACCATCCTTACACCCAACTGCTTTGGTTGTGCCTGGAGAAACAACTTGATCTTTCAGCAGCTCTGAAGCGCAGCAGCTCCATGCTGTGCCAGTAGAAACCTGTGAAAGTCAAGTTTGGTGCCTCTCTGCCTGCTGTGCCCCTGCTCAGAGCAAGCTGTCAAAACCCTTAATGGACTGTCCCAGATCTTTTTGGCAGTGTTCAGATTAGGCTGGACATTAGGAAATACTGCTTTTCTGAAAGAGTGGCCAGGCACTGCAATGGGCTGCCCAGGGAGTGGTGGAGTCACCGACCTGGAGGTGTTCAAGGGACGTTTGGATTTGGTGTTGAGGGACGTGGTTTAGTGAGAACTGTTGGTGATGGGGGGATGGTTGGACTGGGTGATCTGGAAGGTCTGTTCCAACCTTGGTGTTTCTGTGATTCTGTGATATCCCTGGCAGCTACTGGAAGAGTAAAGCCTGCCCACGAGTGCAGCATTTGTCTCTTTGCAACAGTTGGTGTTTATTCACTGCGATTTGGAAAAGCTAGCAGGATCTGGAGACTCTGTTAAAAGATAGCTTTATAGGGTCTATGGAAAATAGGTGGGAATGGAGCCAGTCCTTACTTGAGTGTATTCCTCAGAGACACATAGGTAGAAACACGGATGGGACCAAGGGAGGCAGAGGAGCACAGTGGGACACGTATCTGCTTCCTTGGCTTACACTGCGATGCACACAGAGTCATTAAGGTTGGAAAGGACCTCCAAGGTCCCCACGTCCAACCCCAAGCCATCACACCATGCCCACTGACCACGTCCCCGTGTGCCACATCTCCAGTGTTCTTGAACACCTCCAGGGACGGTGACTCCTCTGCTTCCCCGGGCAGCTGTGCCACTGCATCACCACTCTTTTTGAGAAGAAATGTTCCAAATGTCCAACCTGAATTCCCGACGTGAGGCCATCACTTCCTGTCCAATCACTGATGCCTGTGAGCAGAGGCCGATCCCCGTCTCACTCTAACCTCCTTTCAGAGAGCTGCAGAGGGCCGTGAAATCTGCCCTGAGCTTTGTCTGCTCCAGGCTGAACCACCCTCCTCCCCCTGCTGATTCCCATAGCACTGTGCTCCAGAGCCTTCACAGCTCTGCTGCCCTTCTCTGGACATGTTCCAGGGCCTTCATGGCTTCCCTGCAGCGAGGAGCTCAAAACTGAACGCAGCACTCGAGGAGCAGCCTCACTGGGGCTGAGTACAATCATGATAAACGGATTTTGCCTGGTCTCAAGTGGCAGTTCAGGGAAATACCAACTTCAGGCTGAAGTGGCAGCTGTTGCCTTTTTGCCTTTCCTCCAGTCCCAGTATCGTGTGTCCGTGGAGAAGCTTGCATATGTAGGATGAAACCCTGGATTTGCTGTCATTTAGTGACAATTTGCCATTTCTGCTCCTGTAAGGAATCAGGATCAGATGAGCAGCATGCTTCTATGTGGTGAATATTACAGACCTGTTGTGAACTGTGAGATGAACCGTTGCTGGACGGCTGGTGATGGATCTGAGGTGGTAAGGGCAAAGATGGAAGAAGAGAAAAAGTAGAGAGAAGTCACTGAGAGAGTGATACAGAGATGGGACTGTGCTGGCCCTTGCAGCATGGGCAGCTGCTGCTGTGCTTCCAGCTGATGGATGTCAAAGCTCTGAAGCAGCCCTGTGGCTGTAGGCTGCTGTGGGGAAGGTGCAGCTCAACTCGAGGAGCTGCAGACCAACATGAGGAGCTGCAGACCAACATGAGGAGCTGCAGACCAACATGAGGCCTCCCCTCAGTCTCCTATTCTCTGGGCAGAACAGTCCAAGAGACCTCAGCTGCTCCTCCCTCCTTTTGCCCTCCAGACCCTTCACCACCTTCGTAGCCCTGGACTGAAAACTACTGGAGCCAGCTCCTTTTTTGTCAGCTATGTACTCATTTCGTATTATTCTCATAGATTTCAAACAAACGTTCACCAGTTTGGCTTCACAGAATTGCAGGGGTAGGAAAAAGGACCTCAAGAGATCATGGAATCCAAGCCCCTGCCCAAGCAGTTCCCTACAGCAGGTCTCTCAGGTGGGCGTCCAGTTGGTATTGAATATCTCCATAGTGGAGACTCCTCCAGCTCTCTGGGCAGCCTGTTCCAGCGCTCTGCCACCCCTGCCATGAAGATGATCTTCTACATGTTAGTATGGAACTTCCTCTGTTCAGATTTTAGGCCACTGTTCCTTGCCCTATAGCTACCACTGAGAAGGGCCCGTTTGCCTCCCAACTCCCTTTAGAAATTTATGAACGCTAATAAATCCCCTCTCAGTCTTCTTTTCCCCAGCTGAACAGCCCCAGGTTACTCAGCCTTTCCTCACACAGGAGATGCTCCAGGCCCTTTATCATCTCTGTGCCCCTCTGCTGGGCTCCTTCTAGGAGATCCCTGTCTTTTTGAGCTGGGGAGCCCAGGGCTGGGTACAGGGTTCTAAATGTGGCCTCACCAGGGCAGAGCAGAGGGCTGGGATCGCCTCCCTCCACCTGCTGGCCATGCTCTTCTTCTTACAGCACTGTTTTTTATGTGAGGGCTCATTTGCTCTGGGAGTTTGAAATCCCCTTTCTAAATACACCCATATCCCATTTGAGCCCCTGTGGTGTTCTGGCAGTGTCTTTAAACCTGATTACACCTGGTTCCTCCTTGGTGTTCTGGTTTTTCTGTTCACACTGTTAGACGTGAGGTGCAGGGAGGCTCTTCACCCTCAGCCCAGTTGTTGTTTTCTGGCAAATTTCCCCATGTTTTTAGGCTGGTTTCAGTGGCTTTGTGAAATCCCTCATTCTGTGGTTTATCTTTCAGTTAGTTTCAATGACCAACACACCGTGCAACTGGAAGTGACTTCAACCAGTGACGTTGTATATTCCCTGTTCATTGTCAAAACCAGGACAGAAGTAGTGATTTGGACATAATCATTTGGTCACTGATGGAAACCGTCAACTATCTTACTTGAAACATCTCCATCGTGTTACTGCAGCAGTCTGTCGTCCATGTGTGGGAATCCAGTTCTGCACGATTGCAAGAGGTTTTTGCATCATTAGCTAGAAGCCTTGAGAGTATTGTCAAAACCTGCTGAGGCTGGAGGAAAGAAGGTGGATGTTTTTAGTTACAACCTAATAAAGGTTTTCACACAAGCAGGGTGTATCTAATCTGTAACTGGTTTTAAAACGTGCTGTCGGTGATGTAGAATGCTATCTGATGACCACCACCTTTTTTGTCTCACCTGAACAAATCCATGTCTTTCAGTATTTGGGTTTAACTCAGCCTCCAGGTCTTGCACAACAGACATAATGAGGAAATGGCAAAAAGAACCTCGTTCTAATTCTGCATTTCTTGGGGTTTTTGATCTTGGTAGCATGTGAAGACCCCGCAGGATGTTGCTTTTGTCCCTGTGGAAAGTGAAGAAGGGTTTGGAGGAAGAGCATTAAGGAAGGTGTTTCCTGCTTCTTTGCCTGCCATGTTATCTGGCCAATCCAGATGCACCTGATGGTGAAGCTGGACACCTCTGCAGCAGCCTCTCTCCATTCTGGACTTTGTTTCCAGGGAGCTGACATCTGGAGGACAGCAACTTCAGTTCTCTCCAGAAGTCTCTGTATATTTCTGTCTCTTAACCTCACCAACTCCTTGGCCCTGACAGATCCCAGAGTCTCCTGTCTGTCCTATTCCTTTTGCTTTCCCACTGCATGCTCCCTACCTTCCTTCTCATGTCTGGGGCAAGAAGAACAGTTTGTGTTGGTGGCCTGGATGTAGGCAACGTCTGTTAAAGTTTGAGGAGATTTTTGCTGTTGGATGGGGCTATAATTTGGTGTGTGGAGGTGGGAAATGGGAAGAAGAGACTTCTGGATGGCACAGCCACAGTTCAGACTTGTACATGCAGAGGGGAGGAGAGGAAGGAGCCACTGGACAAAACAGGGGGCTTTTCCAGAGTCACACGTTGATTTCCATCTACACACTAAAGCCAAGTGTCCCTCCAGGGCGTTGTAGGTGTGCCATTCTTGTGCCTGCATGCCTCACTGGGATAGCCCTCAACCTCCCAGCAGCTGTACAGAACGCACCCCAAGGGGAGCTGTGTGGTAGAGCTGGGCTGTGATAGAACACCAGCCCCGTTTCCTTACCCAGTCCTGTCCCACTGCTCAGTTTGCTTTATGGTGGACATCTCATTCCAGTGTGTTCATTACAGGCAAACTGACTCTTGGTCTTGAGGTACAGTTCAGGACTCGGCTGTGAAAAATGGTTGAACTATATTGTGACATCGGTCCCTTTGAGACACGGATGCCAAGCTTGTGTAAATACTCGAGCAGAAGCATGCAGATAAAGTCTGTGCTCTCGTGCATGTTCTCTGAGTCGTCATCCTTTGCTCTTCAAGATGTCTGTGGCATTCTCGCTGCCTGTGCTGACGTGTAACTCGTGTCCATTCTGCTTCCAGCTGACACTGACTATCGTGCGGCAGACGGGGGGGCTGGGCATCAGCATCGCAGGGGGCAAGGGCTCCACCCCCTATAAGGGTGATGACGAGGTAAGGCTCTGGGCTGCGTCGTTATGGGAGTGCCTGCTGTCAGGGACTGCTTCTCTGTAGCTGTGTGTTGGATGTCCACATGTAGGAGCTTTGTGATCGGGGTGGGATTTCGCAGAGCGGTGGGGAGCAGCCCGGTAGCGTGCTGTAAAGGACCAACTAAAAGCACTTTCTGGCTTTCTGGGGTCTGCTCGATATGTTTCACCCCTGGGCTGGAGTGCAGAGGCACAGCTTCTCGAGCCTTCGTGCTGCTGCCCACCAGCAGCCATGAGAACAGCGGTTTCTCTCCCACCTGTCTTTGTATACAGGACTCCAAAGGAGAAAAGTGCAGCGTTGGCTTAAGCATTTGTGATTGCATCAGCTGTCCTGTTCTCCCCATACTGGAAAAGGATTCGTGCTTCCCTTTTCCCTTTTGTCACCCGTGGGGTAGCCATGGGATGGAATACCTCTTTCCCTTCATATCATTTCCTGATTGGAGTGATGGGAATGTCTTGTCCCTCCTTCCAGGGTATGGGGCTGGCAAGAAATTTCCCCTTTCCCATAAGGTGGATGAGGTGGAATGTTTTCCTTCCGTGCTTTACAGGGTTGAAGAATGGACTCCGTCTCCTTTAACACACTTTTTTTTCCCCCAGGGCATCTTTATTTCCCGTGTCTCAGAGGAGGGACCTGCAGCTCGTGCAGGGGTTCGTGTTGGGGACAAGCTTCTGGAGGTAAGGGCCTGGCTGCTGTGAGTTCATAAATAATTTTAATGAGTGGAGAGGTGTGGGCTGGTGCTTATATCCATTACGCTGGTCTGGAGGCCATATCGAGTATCAGGAGCTGCAAGAAGAAAACAAAATCCTCCTGACTCCAAGCGTAGGTTGTTTAATTAACATTACCCTGAATCTTTTGCTTCTTTGTAAGGACAGAAATCGCTCCTGCATTCACTCTCCCCAAATGAAGTGTTTCACAAGTGAGGCACTGAACAGGTTCCCCAGAGGTGTGGTGGATGCCCCATCCCTGCAGACTTTCAAGGCAAGCCTGGACCAGGCTGGACCAACCTGATCGAGCTGTGCGTGTTCATTGCAGGGGAGTTGGACCTGATGACCTTTAAATGTTCCTTCCAAATCTAAGGATTCTATAGTTCTATAAATCAGAGAGGGAAAAATGCACATGAGTGCGACCACAAACCCAGCAGGCTGAGCAGCCAGCCTCTATGTGCTGTTCCTTTCTACGTTCTTGTAAAGGGTAAAAGCGAACCTTGTAATATAAATCTTAACCTCCAGCCAGCCAAATGCCTATCTCCAGATTATTTGAGGCATGATGAATTGTACAAGATTGGGATCCAATTGAGGAAGGATTGATTGCGTTACGCAGGGAGTAGATGCCACTACAATGTTGGATAGAGACCAGGAGAATAAGTGGTCTGTATTTGGAGCACTGTGCTGTTTGTGGGAGCTGATGTGGTGTCTTATGCCCTTCTACTGCTGCAGTGTATATCTGGGCAGGGCAGATCTGGCATCTATGTGACCACGCGTTCCTTTTTCACCACTCAGCCTGGCACAGACTGTGGTAGAAGTCTAGTCTGATTTCTTCTATGTTCCAGGGCTTTAAAAGCCACCTTGCATCTTTGTGCTGCATGCACTGAGTTGCATTTTGCTGCAGAAAAAGGAGAGTCAGCTCTTGAGGATTTTGAGAGATGAATTCCTTTTTTCAACAATCAAATTTTTGGCACCGTGTGATTTTCATGGAAGATAGATAACTTTCCAGTTAAAGATTTGGGAAAAGATCCTTTGTCAGTTCTAGTTTACCTTCCATGGTGTCCATTCGTCTGTTCCTCCTGTAAAATCAGAGGTACCCTCTCAACTTTCTAAAATACTGTTACGTCTGCGAGTCACTTGCAGCAGTTCTGTTCTCATTGGGATTGAGTGGGATGGAGTATCTCTTCCACTCTAGAATAAGGATAGTGTTGCTCACTAATAAAGGCCGTGATGGGATAAAGGATCTTAAATGCCCTGAAGTAGGAGAGATTAGATTTGAATTAGATTTGGGACCATAGAATTGTAGAATATCCTGAGTTGAAGGGATCTGTAAGGATTGTTGAGTCCAATTCCTTCAAGTCCTGTATTCAAGGCGCTGATGAGGAGTTCAAAGAGAATGGGCCCCAAGACAGAGCCCTGCAGAACCCCACCAGCCTGATGGAACCCCACTGACCACCCCTCTTTGGGCCCAACTCATCGGTCGGTTGCTCACCCACTGTATTAGGATTTAGGCAGCACATGCACGAGGGAAGCTTCCTTGAAGGGCAGCAGGTGACGTCTGTCCCAGGGGAGACAGAGTGACAGCACAGAGCTTTGTAGGGAATCACAGATTCGTAGGATGGTCATGAGTCTGGGGTGCATTAAAAAGAGCGTGGCCAGCAGGTCGAGGGAGGTGATCCTCCCCCTCTACTCTGCCCTGGTAAGACCTCATCTGGAGCACGGCGTCCAGTCTGGGCTCCCCAGTACAAAACAGACAGGGATTTCTTGGGAAGAGTCCACCGGAGGGCCACCGAGATGGTGAAGGGCCTGGAGCATCTCTGCTATGAGGAAAGGCTGAGTGAGCTGGGGCTGTTCAGCATGGAGGAAAGAAGGCTGAGAGGGGAGCTGATCCAGGTCTATAAATATCTGAGGTGTGGGGGGCAGCATGGCGAGGCCGGACTCTTTTCAGTGGTGAATGGAGACAGGACAAGGGGAAACGGCTGGAAACTGCAGCATAGGAAGTTGTGCACAAACATGCGCAAGAACTTCTTTACAGTGAGGTGACGGAGCACTGGAACAGGCTGCCCAGGGAGGTGGTGGAGTCTCCTGCTCTGCAGATGTTCCAGACCTGCCTGGATGCCGACCTGTGCGACCTGCTGTAGGGAACCTGCTTTGGCAGGGGGTTGGACTCCATGATCTCTGGAGGTCCCTTCCAACCCCTACAGTTCTGTGATTCTGTGAGTTGGAAGGGACCTTTAAAGGCCATCAGGTTCAACTCCACTGCAGAAAACAGGGGCACCCACAGCTAGATCAGAGCGCTCAGAGCCTGCTGCAGTGTGAGGATGAACTGTGCTTGTGCTGGGCAGCAGCAGCGAAGGCCGGAGCAGTCCGTGCGTGCTGGTGGAAGCAGTGCAGGAAGAAGGGCAGGGTTGTGCCTGGCTCTCTCCATCCCCAGGTGAACGGAGTGTCCCTGCACTGCGCGGAGCACCACGTGGCGGTGGAAGCGCTGCGTGGCTCGGGGAGCTCCGTGTCCATGACGGTCCTGAGGGAGCGGATGGTGGAACCGGAGAACGCCATCACCGTCACCCCGCTGCGCCCTGAGGATGACTACAGCCCTCGAGAGAGGAGGGGTGGCCTCCGCTTCCCTGAGCGACCCGAGGGGGCACCTCCCAAGGAGAGATACTCCACCTGCTTGATGCGCAACGAGAAGGGTCTGGGCTTCAGCATTGCTGGTGGCAAAGGCTCCACGCCGTACCGGGCTGGTGACACGGTCAGTGACAGGTCTTTGGGAGGAAAGGGGCTCCAATCTCTGCATTTTGGCACTGCTTGAGCGGGCGGCACGGGGTCTTTTTGTCACTGCAGGCAAGAGGCAGCAAGGCACGGCCCGGGGGCTGTCCTGCAGTGCTGAGAGAGACAGAATCTGCTCTTAACTCAGGGAAAGGGAGAAGTTCAGAAGGAGGTGGGGCCGAGGCTTGCAATCCCTGCCAGTGACATTTAATCCTGCTGCTGTCCTCTTGACATGTGTTCTGGGCTCTTGGCCACATGAAGGCTTTCCTGCAGGTGGCTCCGGAAGCAGAACGGGGTTTGCTGGAGTGAGGAAGAAGGGAAAATGCCAGGGGGGGGTTCTGCAGTGGGAGTGGGCTGAGACCCGCCTGGTGTCGGGGAGCAAAGCCTTGGGGAGGCACGGAGTCTCTGACCCTTCTGATTGCATTTCAGGGGATTTTCATCTCACGGATTGCAGAGGGAGGTGCAGCCCATCGGGACGGGATCCTGCACGTAGGAGACCGGGTCATCTCGGTGAGTGTGGGTGGCTGGGGAACAGCAGGAGGGAATGGGAAGGGGCTGACTCTGCCCTTGGGGCAGCAGGCACAAGTACAGTTCCCTGCCCTGCCTCAGCTGTTCTCCTGTCTTTAATACAAGATTGTGGAGCCCTTTTTTTAAGCTCCTCAAAGGCAGGGGATGTGAAGGGGCAGCGCTGCTCCCTGTGGAGAGCAGGGCAGCAGTTGTCAGCGCTGCCTGAAGGAGAGGGAGGGCAACATGGAGCCGGGCAGGGCACATGGAGTGTTTCCCCTGCTTTCATTTCAACCTCTGGCCCCAACTCCCCTCCTGTTTGTGCTGTGATGCAGATCTCACTGCTGCCTCTAACCTCAGTCTTTCTGCCTAATGCGTCACTGGCTCCCCTCCTTTGGGGAGAGCCTGCTGAGCCTCCTGACCTTCCTCCCGAGCTCGCATGCTGCCTCCAGGTGAAAGCTCCTGCCTCCTGGTGCTGGTGGTGGGTTTCTGATCCAGCTGTTGTGGTAAGAGCACGTGTTACCACAGAGCTGGCGTGGGTAAACACTGATACAGCCTTGTCAGTGCTGGCTTCTGTCTGCTCTATCCCTAGGCTGGGGGCTGCGTTGTATTTGCTGTGGCACAAAGCTGTAGTGGAGCTTTGACCTAGGTCTGGCAGTCGTATCCTGCCAGGAGACCTGAACTGCTACAACATCTCTCCTTGTCTTCTAGTGCTCCTCTCTCCTTCCACAACCCACCTTGGTTGTTGTCAGTCAGAACTGTGGAGTCATGGAATGGTTTGGGTTGGAAGGGGCATGACGACCACCCAGTTCCAACCCCTGTGCTGTGGGCAGGAATACAAGCCATCCAGCCTGGCCTTGAGCACATCTAACATTCTCTGGACAACCTGCTCCAGTGCCTCACCACCCACATAGTGAAGAATTTCCTATTGTCTAATCTAAATCTCCCTTTTTTAATTCCAAGCCATTACCCCTCGTCCTGCTATTACCCTTCCTGGTGAAGATTCCCTCCCCATAGCCCAAATTATTTTCGTTTTGCTCTTCTTTCGATGCTCCACTGACATGGAAGCATGACTGAGAGGCATGATTGCATGGTGTTTGTTGGCTTTGCCTGTGGCAAGAAGGAATCGTGATATTTCGGAGTGGAGTCAGAAGTCAAACCCTGTTGCATCTTTATGGTCACGTCTATGGGCATTTTCATTCACATCAAACAGTTCGTATAACATCTGCACCTTCCAGCAAGTGACTGCAGCAGCCCCAGCAGGCGTTCCTCCTGGTGGCAGCTGCTCTTCTGCCTTTCCTTCCTGTGGAGTGCGCTGCTAAATGTGAGATCTCATATCCTGAGACCTCATCTCTCTTTGGTGATATTTGTTCCTTGAGAGTTTCTGCTCATTCTAAGAAATGCATGAGCAGCCCTGTGAATTTTACCCCATCTCTGGACAAATCTGCAGCAAGGTCAGGCCCATGCAGCTGCCCTGGATGCTGAGAATACCTGTTCACCTCAACACCATGTCTGTGTGACAGAAGTCCCTATTTGCCTATTTGCCCTATTTTCTGAAGCAGTGATTGCTCTTTTTTTGTTGTTTTTTTTTTTTTTTTGGTTTGGTTTGGTTTTTGGAAGACTTTTCAGGACATGGTGATGAACCAGATGTGTTCTGCAGGCTGCTTGTGTTTCCCTACAGGGAGAGCAGGAGGGCTCTGGTTGGGAGGCAGTCTGTAGGTCCAGCAGGCAGAAGCCTGCCACCAAAGTCATGGTCTCCTGGTCATGCCTCTGTTTCACTTTGCTGAAAGTGAACTTCTTGTTTTCTTGAGGAAAGAAATACAACAGAGCTTCATGGTCTTCCCCTATGCTCTGTACCATCCTGGATTTCTCTGCAGAGACGGGCCAGGAAAACTCCCTTTGTTTTCTTCAGGAGCTTTTTGTAAAAGAACTGAAGAGCCCAGCCTAGATCTGTCTTCAAAGTTAACGCTCCACAAAGCTCACCAGTGACTGATCGCTAACTCTCCAGCCTTCTCCGTGTTCTCGTGTCTCTTAAGAGTCAGAACCTGACACAGTTTTGTGATGGACATCTTGAGAGTCACCTCGGTGGTGGAAGACATGGGGCAGGGAGGTAACGGAGACTTGGAACATAGTTTGAGATCATAGAATCATCAGGGTTGGAAAAGACCACAAAGATCATCCAAGTCCAACCGTCAGATCTAGCAGGGAGGTTCAGGACTGGGAGCAGTGGCCAAGGGCAGCTAGTTTTTGGGGATAGGTCTGGGATTAAACAAAGAGCCCTTAGCTGGGGGAGGCTGAGGGCAGTAGTGGCACCAGATGGTGCATGAGAAGCCTAATGAGCAATTGATGCCGAAAATTCTGCCAAGGGCTGTTAGATGGGAGGTGCTATGAGTGAGGGACATCTTGTGTCCTCATCCATTGGCATCCGGGGGAATACCACTGTATGCCTGTGGTCCAACCACTATCATCAGAAAAGAAAAACAGGCCTTAGAATATCCCCAGTTGGGATGTTATCCATGAAGATCACAGAGAACCTCCCAAAAATCAGGCCATAATGTTACCTGATGAGCAGTTTGTTTAATGATCCATCCGTGAGCGCCCCGAGTCTCGTCTCTTATCTGCTCTTCATTAGGTTTGTGCATCTGCATGTTGTTTCTCTTTCCTGCTTATTGCCTTGGTCTTCTGTGCTGACGAGCCACTACCTGGCTGCTTCCTTCCTGGAGCCCCTTCCTGTGTGTGATAACGTGCAGGCTGACATCTTCACCTCCTTGTTGGTCCTCAGTGGTTGGTGCCAAAGGTGGACTTTGGGGACAGATGTCTCAGTGTAAGAGCAAAGGCTGCAGGGCTGAGAGTTTCCCATCTGCGTCACAACTGGGAGCTGCCTCACCTGGCTGTGTGTGGGGCTGTCAGGAGATGGGCAGCATTGCTGGGAGAGTGACAAAATCCCTGCTGTGGTTTGAACCCCCGTTGCATTGGCAGAGGAGCACAGCTGGCTTGGATGGGACGGGCAGGTGGGCTGAGTAGCGGTCGTGTTGGTGGAGCTTCTGGACAGAGCTCTTAGACAGCTCTTCAGAGCCTCTTCAACCAACTTTACCCATAAACTGTTAGTAGTTATAATAATTCTGGGGGTTAGATAGTGAGGAATCAGGCTACACAATCCAGCTGCTGTGACTGTTGTGTGATTGTTGAGCAGCTGCTGTTTTCACGTCTTTGTTGTTCATTTCGGAAAGTGTTTTCAGAATTTAAGAACCTTTTCATTTGTCAAATTATTGTTTCCGTGGCACATTTGGTCCCTTTGGCAGTGTTCTAGCTTAGCTCTCCTCTCAATTTAATGTCCCTTGTATTCTCATGGCAAATAGTCACATTTTTCCTGGTCTCTTCTAGTTAGGCTGCTTTATATCTTCTTTCTGTAGGCAGGGCTGTTCCTCTGCTTGTCCTGCAAGCTTTTCTTCGTGCATTCTGTTCATGTTGTTAATTTGTATTAGATGTTCTTACTTCTTTAGTGTGAAGATTGACAATAGTGCACAGTTCTATAGTTGAAGTCTTTCCATTGCTATGTAAGTGACATTGCTGCTTCCCTCTGCATTGCAGGTGCCTCTTTGTCCAAAGCATTTCTATCTTTCACTGATACCGTTGCAAGGCTGGAGAGTGTATTGCAGTATGCTTTCTTGTCAAAAAGAATTCTGCTTTTCCTTTTGTCCGCCAGACATCTGCTATTGACTGATTGAATCTCATTCTCAGTGCTTCCAAATGATTTTGTACTTGTGCTACACTTTTTGTGACTTAAAACAGGGGCCATCCTCCCATCATTGTGCCACCATGTTGCCCAGTGCGGGCAGGCAGCAGCCCAGTAGCTCGCAGCAGGTCCCACTGCACATCAGATTGTGCCCTTCAGCTCTTCATCGCCTCTGTCCAAGCTTGGAGAGTGATTGATATGGGCAAATGCCCGAGTACAGAGGCAGCTGATGGCATGGTGCATTGGTGTGCCGTGACATCACTTCTGGGAATCGCTGCTTTGCCTTCTTCCCTTGTTAAGGTCGCTGGACCCGTTCCTCTAATGCCACCATTTGGGCTTTTTTTCCTTTGACCCAGTAGGCAAGCTGGAGCACAAAGCCAAAAAGGAGTGGAAGGGATTCTCTTGGTCATGAATATGCAAACAGTCTTAGCAATAGCTAAAGTGGCAATAGCTAGCTTTGTGGCATCCGGGAGATGGTGCATCGCCATGGATCTTTGGCATTTTCTGGAGCATCGCTGGTGCTGCTAGAGCTTGGAAGTGTGCAGGGAAGGTGAGAGGGGTCTGTGAGCTGTCTGCAGAGAGGATTGTGCTCAGCCAGGAATGGGAAGTTGCCCGGGTCCCTTTGCAAGGCAGGAAGGAGTGTTCTGAGCCACACCGCGCTTTGTGAAGCGGACGTTGAGAGGGGCAGGGCGTCAGCGTGGGTCTCAGGGTGTGTGTTTGTGCTCAGGTGACGGTCTGACGCTGAGTTTGCGGGTTGTTCTAGATCAATGGGGTAGACATGACAGAAGCCAGGCATGATCAGGCCGTAGCGCTGCTTACCGCATCCTCCCCCACCATCGTCCTGCTGGTAGAGAGAGAGGCTGCAGAGCAGCCCGGCGAGGGAGACGCGCCTGGCGCGCCGTGGGTGCGCATGCACTCCCCACCGCCACCCCCCAGCCATGGGGAGAGCCCAGCAGAGGAGATGCCTTCGCTGCAGAGGAGCCAGCTCTCTAAAGGCCTGGAGGATCAGTATCCCATCGAGGTGAGCCACCGGAATGGGGGATGGTGTTGGGTAATAGGTGTGTGGTGTTGAGCGCCCTTGGTTCGAAAGTGTGGTCGCGTGATGAGGGCTGGGTGGGTTGCTGGGGTATGGAGAAACAACGGGGGGCCCTCTTGTCCTGTGGGACTTTGTCTTGTGCTCACTCACACAGAGCATCCCTGATTCATAAGGGGACTCTCCGCTCTCCGTGACTCTGCTTCTTGTTCCTTCCAGGAAATTCACCTCGTAAAAGCAGGTGGTCCTCTGGGGCTCAGCATCGTGGGAGGCAGCGACCATTCGAGCCACCCGTTTGGGATTCATGAACCAGGGGTTTTCATTTCAAAGGTAATCCTGGCAGTGAACATTCCTGAGCTGTTTTCATTATTGGGGTTAAGATGGAGGATTTTGATGCAAGAGTCTGAAAAGTGTAATAAGGGTTAAAAAAAAACAAATGGGATGAGGAGGAGAAATGTGTGCATATGTAAAGAGTTGATTTCTATTAAATATATCTCTGCTGTTTTAGAAATCTGAATGATTTAATAATAACCTGCTGAGTTCGTTCCTGCTGCGCTGTTTGGGGAGAGTAAGCTTTTGAAATTGCTGAGCTTCTGTTTTAGTGAATGCTGGAAAGATGCAGGCAGTCCAGGACATTGGCCGTTACTCAAAAGGTGTCAGGGATGGACATGTAGCTGTAAGGAAAAACAGAAGATTCTCCTGCATCCAGGCCAGTGTCCTTCAACCTCCCACTCTCTGTGCCGTGGTAACACTGGCAGATCTTATTCAGGATCAGTGCACAAGCCTCTCGTTTACTGCAGCCCTTCTCCATGAAAGCCAGCCACACTCGTTAGATGAGAGATGCTGGGGAGATACCCCTGCCCAGTCCTCTCTGCAGCCATGCATCCCTCTTGCCTTGGAGGTGCTGATCCTGTCTCCTGCATGCCTGCAAGTCCCAGAACATCTTTACCTATCAGTGAGGAGGCACACTCAGATCTGCTCTTAGCCCATGTCTCAGTGGTTTCTCTGAGTGTCCCATTCTTACGCTGCTGATTTGGTGATCAGGAGTCCTGTATTTGGGCTGTTCACCACCTTCACAATCCTTCTTCAGCTTTCTGCCCAAAATCAAGAGCTGTGGCTTTTGTTCCTCCTTGCAAGGTGCTGCTTCATGCTCTTGTTTTTTTAGTTGCTTTTCTCTGAACCTTCTCTGCCTCCACTGTGGCCTTCTTAAAATGTGGGATAAGAGGATCATTTGAGTTGTAGGGAACCTGTAAGGAACCATTTGATCTCAGAACCAGCTCAGAGGAGCTCGCTGAGGTCCTTGTCAGGTTCTGAGTGCCACAACAATGGAGATGCTGCATTCTCTCTGGGCATCTGTTCCAATGTTCAGCTACCATTACAAAGAATGTTGTATTCCTAACGCTTAGTTTCCTTTGTTCCATCTCTTTTCCCTTGCCTCTCTCCCTTTGGACAGTCACGAGTCCCAGAACCATAGGGGTTGGAAGGGAAGCTCGCCCAGTCCAACCACCCCCTCTAGAAGTTCCCCAGAGCAGCTTGCACAGGAAGGCATCCCAGATGGGTTTGCCAGTGTCTTTCTTACACCCCAGATGCAAGTGCTGGTTAGTGGGGAATAATCACTGCTCTCAACTCACAGTTTACTCCCTTCTAGTCCAGCCCAGTGTGTACCCTCTGCTATTGCAACGATACACTGCTGACTTAGCTTAGCTCTCTGCAAGACGTGTTGATGTCCTGTTTGTTTTCCCTGACACCATGCAGTGCATTCTTCTCCTTTTGTAGCTTCTTCACCTGGTAGCTCAGCACCGTGTCAGAGGCCTTACTGAATTACAGACAGATGGAATACAGCCATCTTCCCGTGTCCACTGGCAGTGAAGCCATCACAGAAGGCCACCAGGTTGGTCAGGCAGGACCTGCCTTTGGTGAAGCCACACTCGTTGTCCCTTATCACCTTTCTCTCTCAGAAAACTGACAGAGGAATTAGGTTCAAATAATAATATGAGAAATAAGAACGCACTCAATGGCATTTTAGAGCAAATCTTACTTCGTTCGTTGTTTTTTATGGATGAAGTAGCTTGGTATTTATTGTGATCTTTCTGGTGATAGCATCTCAGTACTGCACAGTTTCTCTTTTGCTCCCTGTCCTACAGAGGATGGGGGGAAGAAAGTGAGATGGAAAAGAACTTGCAAGTTTTTGAGATAGAAGCAGTTTAATGAAGGAAAAGCAATAGCTGTGCACACAAGCAAAAGGAAAAAAAATACTCTCTACTTCCCATCAGCAAACAATCTGCTGGGAAGCCAGGCCTCAGCACACACACACTGATTGCTGCAGAAAGTCAGGACCTTGTAATTACGGTGCAGAACGTCCTAAACAGGCTGAAAACGGGGTGACAGTTTTCAAGCAGTAGCCATCAGAGCCATCAATGGAGTGTCAGTGAGTTGGAAGGGTGTCCAGGCAGATTGTACAAGGATTTGTACCAGACCTGACACTCAGCTTCAGCAACGTTGTGGAAGCAAATCCAAAATTGCAACCAAGAAACGATATGTGGAAATATTAGAATTGTCATTTATAATGAGTAGAAAACAGCCATGTTGATCACTTTTTCCTCTTCAAAGAAATACACATCAGGGTAACTGAGAGTGATGTTTTGCATCTAGAAATAAACAGTGTAGACCGGTTCCCCTTCTGCAGTGTTTCTTCTAAATTCTTCTAGAAAGCAGTGGCTTTGAAAATTGTTGAAGCATCACAGTGAATGAACTGCAGTGTTCAGTCACTCAGATAATGAACAGTCATCCAGGCGACGAGCAGTTCTCCAAGCAATGCTTGGGCATGTAATAAGGGACGACGAGGGTGGAATTTTCCTGTTTGTGGAGGCTCACTGAATGTCATCAGCTCATCAGTGCACTGAGCTGCTTCTTCGCAGATGAATTTATTACCTCTCGGGGAGCTTCAGTTGCAGAGAGAAGGTCAGAGTGGCCTCAGAGGACGTTGGAGGATTGCCTTCAGACGCCGTAAAAATTGGCCCTTGAGCTCCCTGCCGCCGAAGCTGCAACACTCGCTCACTTGCTGTTGATCACAGGAGCGGCCGCAGGCTTTGTCAGCCCCCCTCCAAGGGCAGATTTCCTTCTCTGGTTGTAACACGAACTGTTTTCTGCAGGTCATTCCCCGCGGGCTGGCGTCTCGCAGTGGGCTGCGGGTAGGGGACAGGATCCTGGAGGTGAACAGCATTGACCTGCGCCATGCCACGCACCAGGAGGCCGTGAACGCTCTGCTCTCCAACACCCAGGAGCTGAGCGTGTTAGTAAGGCGAGATCCACCACCGCCTGGCATGCAGGTGGGTTCTGAGCAGGGATTGCACTTCCTTCTTCACAGATAGCTCAGCTCTGAAGGCGGTTTCTTATCTAGCTGGGGGTCTGGGTCTTCAGTACAACTGAACTTCTATCTGAACTTTCTGGATGCTGAGGAAGGCCATGAAGATGGTCGGAGAGCTGGAGCACCTCTCCTGTGAAGAGAGGCTGAGAGTTGGGGTTGTTCGGTCTGGGGAGGAGAAGGCTCTGGGAAGACCTCATTGCAGACATCCTCAACCTAAAAGGGGCCTACAGGAAAACGGGGAGGGACTCTATCGTGGATGATAGTGATAAGACATGGGGTGATGACTTTAAAGCAAAAGAGGGGAGACTTGATTACATATGAAGTTCTTTCCTCAGAGAGTGCTGAGGCCACAGGCTGCCCAGAGAAGCTTGGGTGGGTGCCCCATTCCTGGAGCCGTTCAAGACCAGGTTGGATGGGATTCTGGGCAGCCTGATGTAGGGGAAGGTGTCCCTGCCCACAGCAGGGGGGATTGGATGATCTTTAAGGTCTGTTCCAACCCAAACTATTCTGCAGTTGTCTTGTGGTGGAGTCACAGAATCACGGGGGTTGGAAGGGATCTCAAGAGATCATCAAGTCCAACCCCCTGCTAAAATAGATCACAGAATCTACTGTCCTGTGAGTTCATATCCAATTGAGGACTGTAGGGAGCCTCTTGCTGTACCAGTGGTGATACTGTGATCAGAACTGATTGATCTCATGTTTCATGAATAGAGATAGAAAGTAAACAGAAATACAAAGCCATATAAAGAAGAGAATCAACTGCCAAATGTGTGAAACGTCCAAGACAGGTCACTTTCAGGATTTTTAGAATATGCCCATCCCTTAAAAGCTTTTCCTATACAATTCCAGTCTGATCTAAAGCCAGAAACAAGGAGATCTTTCTGTATTTTCAGGAAATATGCATTGAAAAGGCTCCAGGAGAAAAGCTGGGCATCAGCATCCGAGGTGGAGCAAAAGGTCATGCTGGAAATCCATTTGATCCTACTGACGAAGGCATCTTCATTTCTAAGGTACCAGCCCACAAATTCTGCCCCTTGGTGATGTGCATGTCCTGCTAGGAGGCAAGATGATCCCTGAGAGAATTTGTTGTGTTTGGTGCTCTCTCCTTTTTTCACTGGCTACACTGATTCTCTTTTAGTTTTCTCCATCCGCTGAAGCACGTGAACGTGTTTCCTTTCATGTTTCCTCCTTTACAACAGCTGTAACATTTCTTCTTTCATTTCCTTTGTTTGCCTTTTTTTTTTTGCTATGTGAGTTTTGGTCCTTTTTCCATTACACAAACCTATGCTTTTTCCTTCTTCCCCTCAGTTCCTGTTGATACCCCAGTTGCTTGTGGCTTACCTGCCCAGTCAGAGGTGCATTTGCCTTTGTCACTGAACGCAGTATGAGTTCCTTGCTGTGCCTGCTGTGCCATGCACTGTGTTCCCTTTCCTTTGTATGCATACTGATTTGTCATGTCACTTTTCCCCAGGCAGGAGCACACACTTTCCAATGCAGTGCTGTGTATAAGCTAATGCTTTTCCGACCCTTATCAAAAAGTGTTGCAACTTCTTTGCTATCAGTCAAGAGAGCATGGTGGTGAACAGTGCAGTTTCACATCTCTTGCTTGCTTTGAATGTTCATATTGATATCGCTGTTTCCTTCTCTAGCTGCTATGCTAAGAGCAGAAACACTGTCCTTGCTCTAAAGTCTTAATCCTTGCTAACTGGTGGACTCTTCATATCTGCCAGTTAATCACTCACAGTAACGAGCCCAGGGAGGCGGTGGAGTCACCAACGCTGGAGGTGTTCAGGAACTGTGGAGATGTGGCACTCAGGAGCTTGTTTTAGTGGGCATGGTGGGGTGGGTTGGGGTTTGGACGTGGTGGTCGTAGTGATCCTTTCCAGCTTGAGTGATTCTGTGCTTCTGTACTGGCACACTGCAGAGGAAAGGCAAGATCTTTAGGGATCCTTGGCGGTCTGAGGGCTGACCACGGGGTTGTGGTTGTAATTGGAGATTTGCTACGAATTAAACAAGGATTTAACAGCCAGCATAACTAGTTACCACCTTTTCTAGCACTTAGTGTGGCTTATAGTTGCACAGCATCATTAGAAGTCTCAGTTACACGGGCTCGTCTGTCATCTGGGTGGACCCTGTGTAGATCAGGACATATTCCTATCAGTCGTGCGATACAGTCATCACTCAGATTTTAGGTAAAACCACACGAGAGGCACAACTCAGGACTCAAGACTGTGCTGATGCATCCCAGGCCACGGGGAATCCAGCAACAGTTCTGTTCTGAGTCCCACTGAGGGTTTAATGCTGCTAGATTTTATAGGCAGTGCTCCCAGCGCTGTTACGTTTCCCTATTCCAGGATATGGATGTCAGCACTGGTGAGACTATACCTCGAGTGCTGTGTTCAGTTTTGGGCCTCTCAATACAAGGACATCGAGGAGTGTGGCCAGAGAAGGGCAATGGAGCTGTGAGGGGTCTGGAGCACAGTGCTATGGGGACCGATGGAATGGGACGGTTCAGTCTGGAAGAGAGAAGACTTGGGGAGACCTCACTGTTCTCTCCAGCTCCTGAAAGGAGGTTGGAGCGAGGTGCAGGTTGACTTTTGCTCCCAGGAAACAGCAATGGGATGAGAGGCGATGGCCTCACGTTGCACCAGGTGGGGTTGAGGTTGGATATTAGGACCAATCTGTTCTCTGAAGGAGTGGTGATGCAGTGGCACATCTGCACAGGGCAGTGGGGCAGTCGCCATCCCCGGAGGTGTTCAAGATCCATGGAGATGTGGCGCTGAGGGACGTGGCTTAATGGGCATCGTGGGGTGGCTTGGGGTCAGACGTGGTGATCTTCGAGGTCTGTTTCAACATGAACGATTCTGTGATCTCCTGACAGCCAGCCTGCAGGAATTGACGCTGCTGAGGGGTTTAACCCACCTGTCAGTGCTGTCGGTGGCTGCTCTCCATCCCCTCGTAGTGACCCAGCCCTTGGGTCCTGGGAGCATCTCTGCCCCTTGGCACCCTGACAGTGGGGGTCCCCACAGCCTGGGCAGAGAGGGGGTGAGGGGAGGAGGCAGGGCTGTGTGTTAGCAGCCACTTAGGTGCTGTGGATGCTGACTTCATCGTCAGTTGTGCTGCCAGGGGAAAGGAGCAGAGGGCACTGATCACAGCTGCCTTGACTGTGTCATTTCAGCTTCACTCTCAGCTCCCCAACCCAGTGTGCTTTTCCTGCTTGGCTTATTCTGCCTCTCTATCTCTGCTAGCTGAGAGATGGAGCGTTGTTTTTCTTCTCTTTCCTCTTTTTCGGGTGCCTGATTACTACATTCTTTCTTCTCAGTCTCCCTTAATTGTTGTTTTTGTTGAGTCCCTTCATTATCATATATTTTTTTATGGAGTGTGGCTCTTCTTTGTTAAAACCTTACTACTGAAGTGTTACGAGTTGAATACAATCAGAAGCCTTAAATATATCCACAGTTTGAGGTTCATGGTCTGTTGCAATGGGAATAGCATGGTCTCCCCTGGTGAGATAAGAGTAACACAGATGACTGTTAGCATTATAGCATATACTGTTAGCAATATAGCATATACTTTTCCATGTGCTCCTCTTCCTCCCATTATTTCGGCATGTTTTACTGCCATGCTTGTGCATTTGCTCTCCCTGGGAAAGAAAATGGGAGAGTTTGGTCGTGTTCCATTTAGCTTCATGTGTCACCTTCTATACTTGCACGTTCCATTCACGCATTTTCCTGTTTTCCTCCCTGTAGGAAATTGTATGCATGCATAGAATCACAGAATCATAGAATCCTATCATCATGAATGCATGCCTATTTTCCCTCCCAAAAACCTACAAAAAGATCACGTGCAGCATTCCCTTCTCTTTTCCCAAGTACTTTCATAAAATAATGAACCAAATAGATGCTCCTCCTTTGCTGGTTGGTTTTTCTTCCCCCCTCGTCCCCCCATCACTGAGTTCTCTGCATTGTCTTTGTCATAGAATAGAATCATTAAGGCTGGAAAGGACCTCAGAGATCTTCTCATGCTCTCTGTGCCTCCCTGCTGCTCTGACAACCAGCCCTGCACGCCCTTGCATTTCCCCCACCCCTCTGGTGCCCCTCTGCTCTCCTTATCCTCTTGGCATCAATCTGCAGGCTGTGCAGAAGATCCCCGCGTTTCCATGCTCTTTTTGCAAAGCCTTTATGTAGCGCTGCTCGTAATTCATGTTGGTTCTTTGGTTTGAGTCTGGGCAGTTGAATTAAAGCCATTATTTGACTCGTGTTCCCAGCGACATCTGCTTGTACAGCCAGTGTACCAAGACCTTCATTTGAGCTTGGCCATGCGTGCATCCCGTTTTGTTACAAGGTTTTGGTTTCCCATTAGAAGTAAGGGCCATTTAGGGTTCTGTTCCTTTCCCCAACTGTTTCTGTTCCTTTCAGTTGAATCCTCTGTTTCTGCACAGCGTCTTCTCCTAAATCCACCATTCAGTTTCTTTTTCACTTTCCCAGCTTGCATATTTCTCCTATACCAGACATCATACTTTGTTTTCCTCCTTTCCACATTGTGCCCACAGCAAATCCTGCAGTCTCTTTTCCTTGTCCTAAAGAGGAAAACATTAATAACCTTCCCTTAACTTTACTTTCTTTGTTCTGGTGACAAAGCACGCACTTTCATTTTCTCCTCAAACACACACTGATATTTGCACTTTTTAAGACAAACTCTGGCATTTTCTGTGCCTTACCAGTATGTGATGTGAAGTTGCTTCCCCTGATGGCGTTGGTTACGTGAGGCAGGGATAAGTTCTTGTCATTTGCTGGGAAAAGAACCAGCAATTACACGTGGTGCCTCTCAGAGAAAGAGGAGGGAAAGTTCATAATCTCAGGTTGGATGTTAGGAGCAATTTCTTCTCAGGAAGAGCAGTCAAGCATCAGAACGGGCTGCACTAGGAAGAGGTGGAGTTGCTGACCATGAAGGTTTTCGAGAGCCGTGGAGATGTGGCAGTGAGGGCCGTGGTCAGTGGGAATGGTGGGGACGCGTTGTGGCTCAGCTTGGTGATCTCAGAGGTCTTTTCCAGCCTTCATGATTCTATGATTCTCTGATTTGTTATGCCTTTGTCTTCCACAAAGAAGTGAAAAGTCTCATTTATCTTTATCCAGAAAACTTAGCCCCATGCTTGCGTTTTTCCATCTCTCTCCCGAGAACAGCAACAAAAAATGGAATTTCCTTGCTCTGAGGGTAAATCATAGATGCGTGAGGTTTCTTTCTCACCTGCTTCATCGACAAACAAATAGTTTGTTCCCTTGGAACAAGATATTTCAAATACAGATTCTTTTCGTCTCTCAGAATGGGCTTCTTGTACACTTCTCCTCTATTGAAACACACAAATTCTTCCCTTTTTTGCTCTCTCTGTCAATGTGTCTGTGTACTTTCAATCTCTTTCCCTGACGTGTAGCCTCAGCCTTTTTCCCGTGTCCCTTTTGTACTCCTTCTCCCTGATGTGGTCCTCGTGCTCCCCGACCTTCTCTTTGCTCCTTGAGTAAAGCCACCATTCCACCATGGATTACAGGTGAGCTCCTCTGGGGCCGCAGCGCGGGACGGCCGTCTCAAGGTGGGGATGCGGATCCTGGAGGTGAACCATCAGAGTTTGCTGGGGATGACGCACACAGAAGCAGTGCAGATACTCCGAAGTGTGGGCGATGCTCTGCTGGTGCTGGTGTGCGATGGCTTCGATCCCAAGGCTGCAGCTGCCATTGAGGTGAGAAGGGAGGCGCGAGGAGCCCCGCGGAGACCAAGGAAATAAGGAGCCCACTTATTTCTGCACATTTTCCAGCCTTTTGCAGTAGATTTTTCTGTCTGTTCGTTGGTTGGGTTTTTTTGAGGTGTCAGATTCCAAAGTTTTCTCTCTTTATGAACTAGAGGTGATTGCCAGTTCATAAAACAGTAGCTTCGCAAGGCTGATATCTTCTGCTGATTGCAGAGCTGTTTTCACCATATCACTGTGCTGCATAGAAATGTGGGTTTCAAACAAATTTTCTGCAGTGTTCTTTTAGTCATTTTTTCTTGTATTGACGTTATATTTAAAGTAAATTTTCTTTCTATCCGTTGGTGTTCACCTTTCACTCAGGGAAACACCCACGGTAGCCCCATGCCTTCTAAGTTTTCTTTTACTGAGGCTTAGAAAGCCTTTATTTATCCTTTGCTAGAACATATACTCAGTCCATGGTAATCTTATGCCCTTTCTGTACCTGTTTTAATTGAAACTCCTCTTCCCTAGCCCTCAGTTTCTTTTTGTAATTGACAGTTGCAACAAGGTTTTGAGTTGTGAAGCAGTTCTGTCTTGTCCAGGAGCATCTTGGTGCTCTATATCTGGTAGCCCAGGGTGTGGAATCTTGTATGGTATACTATGGGCTTCTGCCATGTTTTATTGTGGTTTTGCTTCGTAGATGTCTCCGGGAATTATTGCAAACCCTTTTGCTGCTGGTATTGGACGCAAGAATAGCCTGGAAAGTATCTCATCTATTGACCGGGATCTCAGCCCTGAGGAGCTGGAGGTGCTGCAGAAGGTGGGTGTTCTGGCTTTGGCTGGGAGAGTGGTGAGGAATGGAATACTTGTTAAATCTCAAGTATTTCCCTTGGTGTGTGGGACCTGCAGCATAACAAGTAGCGGACTTCATGTTTGTGGGATCAGCAGCTCCCAGCACATGGACCAGCACGAGGCTGAGACGTGGTCTGGCTTCTTCCCGAGGTTGCCATCCTCCACGCAGGGAGAGAGCACGGGGTGAAGTGGCTCTAACTTTGGTCTCTCCTAGGAGATGGAAATGGTGAGAGAAGCGACTCAGTGGGAGAGAGAAGAAATGGAGAAAGTGGTGAGAGATGTTTCGTGTGGTGGAGTTTGTTCTTGACAGCAGTTCTGCCCAGGCTGCAGGCCCTGAGGAAAATGGCACAGATCGCCTCTACTCGACTGTGGTCTCTGTGGGGGCTGCGGGCCTCGTCTCTCCATAGTGCACCTCTCAGTTACTGTAGTTGCTTTTTGGCTTTGGCGTACCTTCCTGTGTGCCTCTTTGGTGGTACTTACCTGTTATTTGTGCAGTTTGTTACCGCTGGGACTTTCTGGCCAAGGTTTTCTTAAAGCTGCAGCTTTGAGGAAAATGGCCCATTGGCTTGGGAGCCCCACGTTTCATCACTTCTCTCCATGATCTGACAGCTTTCATGAGCGGAGATGAGAACACACAGCTCAAAGGTTGAGGAATCAGCCCCGTTCATCAGTCAGGAGTTTGTGCTCCTCAGTTTCCATGGCTGTTGTTCTGGCTGGGCACGAGAACTTTGTCCCTGAGGGGATTGGATTTTCCAGTTCTGTTAAAACTGCAATTTATTCAGTCAGATCCTGTTGGAAAATGAGGGAAAAATTGAATTTTTTAGCACTGTGCGTTGTCAATCTGCTCTCCTGGCAAATAAGTTTGTGTACATTTTGCATTTCTTCAGGTTTCCAGTTTAGATCTATTTATCTTGCTGGGTTCTCTCTGTTGTTCAGTCCCTGAGCTGAACGAGTTTTCAGGAACCACCGTTGCACTCTGCATACGTCTTCCAAGTTTGGTTCTTTGATCATTCAGATTCTAGGAGCAATATCAGTGGCTCCAGATCTCCATGGGCCGATCCTTGGCACGTTCCTCTGTCTCAGCTCTGCTGCCAGTTGTTTCTGTAACCTTACCGCAGAGCTTTGGCTCAGATGTTGCAGGGATGGACTTCTGGTGTTGCCCAGCTCCATCAGCACTGCCTGGAGCTCCTGTTACTTTTCACTTTATGACCTCCAGTTTTGCAGATGATACTTACCCAAAGCATACATACCCAGCACCAACATACACTTCAGCTTAAATATCCCTGAATATCCCTTTGGGTCCGGCAGTTTTCTGGAGCGCTGGCGTCTTCTCGTGTGGCTCATCACTGTCTGGAGATTGGGAGTGTGATATTGGGCACTGGTGGTAATGCACAGGATGGCCGGGTGCTGATCAGAACTCTCTGCTCTGTCTGTTCCTCAGCTGCGTCCCATCCATCAGCCTTGTGCCCTCAGGACCCTCTGGGGGCTGCTGATGGAGAGAAGCAGTCAGAAGGGCTGAAATGTGCCATAGAGCAGAGCAATTATGCTCCTTTTGTCCACAGCCCCCACTCTGCTGCAGAGGCTGTGGGCAAAAAGTCACAGAATATAAATGAACAGATGTAATTCCTCTTGAAATCAAGCAGTGGGTGTTATTTCTTTCCTTCTGCAGCTCTGAAGCTGCAGTGAGTTTGGTTACTGGCCACTTTCATGACACTCTGTGCTCAGCCACTGGCTTTAAGCCCTCTGTACAATTGCCATCTCTGTAGCTTTGTGGCTGTGATGCTACTAACAAGCATGTGATTTTTTAGGACTTTTTCCTCGACGACCACCAGCTCGTGCTCTGTAGATTTGTTTCTCTGTGCCCTTGCAGCTTCCCCACTCTGTGCTCTGCCAGGATCCCTCTTGTAGCTATAAGCAGCCTGTTCCCATCCCTCAGTGACGCTGCATAGGGTTCAGCTCCACTTCCTCTCCCTAGGAGTTGCCCCGCTGAGGATCTCAGAGCCACCTGCCCTCTTCCCTCCCCTGGTGACCCCCTGTCTTTACTTGTATGGGATGGCTGTTGCCATCACTTTGCTGGCAGTGCCCAGCACAATGCCAGCTTCTCCTTCCCTGGGCCAAGCTCACGTGCTGATTTCTGCTCACCTCATCCTGACACCAGCCCCCTCCATACCCCTCTGTTCTCCCTCTGGAATGATTGCCCAGCATGCAGCTGACCTCTTTCCCTCTCTCTTTGCCTGCACTGCTTGGATGCTGGTCTGGCTCTGTCCTGTGGCATGGAAGGAGTGGATGCGTAGGGAGCGGGAGGCGGCCACGCGGCAGCTTGAGGAGGCGGCAGAGGTGAGGAGCGTGGTGGGAGGGATGGAGAGATGGAGAGCAGAGGCAGAGCTCAGCCTAAGGGCTGGAGGAGCCCCCGAAAAGTAGAAGCACTCACTGCCCTCTGCATGTGTTCTCCTCACACCCCTGTACCCTGCGAAAAGCACAGCTTCAGCGTATGAGGAGATAGCAGAAATTGGCAACTCTTTAACGTGGTTGAGGAAGAGCGAAAAACAGTGACTAAAATATGAAAGCAAATTAAAATAGGAAGTGATATCAGGCACAATTATGCAAACAGTGTGAGTTAATACTGAAAATAGATACCACAGAGGAATTGCAGATTGACTTTGTTAAACGTAGAATCATGGAACATGCCGAGTTGGAAGGCACCCGTAAGGGTCATTGAGTCCAACTCCTGTATTGCCAGCTCCGGACCGTAAAATCTTTCTGGATTTGGTGAAAACTGGTTACATATGTTTAGTATTCTTTTCTCTTTCTGTAAGAGAGTGGATATGTGCATTGCACAGGAGAAATGGTGAGGACCAGCATCCCAGTGTGGCTGTTCCCTGCAGTATTGCTGTCACTTTTCCCTGTGGCTGCGTTTGGAGCAGTCCCAGGTTCACATCCCAGCAGTGGGAGCTTCCTGCAGCGTTTGGAGACAAAGCCTTGGCTGTGACTAAGGATGGTTTCCTTTGAATTGCTCTGTGCGATTGATGTAGCTGAATTCTGGCCTGATCTCTTCCTGGTGTTTCTGTTTTGTTTTTTGCTTCCCCCCTTCCCCCTCTCCAGAATGTCACGAGTGAACCTTTGCGAATGGACTATCGGACCCTGGCTGCTTTGCCCAGCAGTGGCTCACAGAGAGTCAATCGCACTGTAAGTGATGGGTGCTGAGCGCACATCCCTGCTCCCTTTCCTGCCCTCTCCTCTGCCTTTATGTGATGGTAGCGGTGCTCTGCAGAACTGCAGTGGGCTTCAGGTGTCTGAAACAGGAGGAGCTGCAGCGGAAAGATTTAGAAGGAGAAAATGGTGAGAGCAGAAAGCCAAGTTGCTTCCCATTGTGGAAAGGGAAGTGGCTTCTGTGGTTGCTTTGGTGCAGGAGATGATGTGAACAAGGCAGAAAGCAAGCCCAGCAGGAGGGAAGAATACACGTGAATGGAGTGTGGGGGCTTTGGTGGGGAAATAAGCAAGTACTGAAAGCTGCAGAAGCAGGAGGGGAAGATGATGCCAGGCACAGAAGATACCAATGCTGTGTGCAGAGAAAGCAAGGAGTGCAGAGAAAGCAAGGTTAGGATCCATCTAGGACTGCAAAAGGGGAAGCAGAAGTGATTGCATATCCCACCTAGTAGAGATAACAGTAGTGCCTTTGGCACTACTGCTGCCCCTCTGCCCTCCTGTGTTGCCATCTCTGATACATGGTGGAAACTCAGCAAAGAGAAAATCCAGATTCCACAAATGTCACAGATTACAGAGCTATCCGTCTTTCCTGGGTTGTTTAAAATGTCACATCTCCATCTCTGTTTTCTTTGTCCCCCCTGCATCACGCCTGTTCTGCTGAGTTGCTGCCTGCTCCCTTAGAGCTTCTCATCCTCAGGCTTATCCCCAGTTCCTTTCCTGCTGTTACAGGAAGGACCAACCCTTTGCTGATGTTGAGACAGAATATCTCTTTGTTCTCCCATTGTTTCAGATCATCTCTTCTACCCATCTCCGTTTCATTCCATTGAGACAGCTCTTCTCTCATATTTGTGTATCATCTCATGACTGTCACCAGTTCTGTCTTATTTTGTTCCCCATCCTCCCAAGCTTTGCCTTTGCTCTCCTGGCTGTCCACAAAAAATTGTTTCATCAGGAGAACATCTGAAGTATTTCCAGCATCTCTTCATTTAACTGAGTAGCTGGAAGCGAGGGGAGAGCCAACCCCATGCAAGCAGCTGTTCCTTTGTGAGCAGCCCAAGAGCTGAGCAGCATTTGGGAGCCTATGGCTGAGCCTGGGAGCGCCTGGCTCTGGAATGTGCAGCAGAGCACTGGAATGCTGCGTGTGGGGCAGCATCTATAAATGTCCCATCTCAGGGGAAGGGCCAATTAGTGCACATTTATCTTCTCCCAACTGTCTTTTGCTCAGCCCTACCTTTGCTCTGCTTGAAAAAATCCCACCTGCTTTGATTGTGAGATATGAGCTCCCAATGACAGCAAGGTTCTGGCTGCAGCCAGCCCATGTGGTGACAGCCTGGAAGATTCAAGCAGTCCAACCAGCAGAAAAGCATGCAGCTCATAGGGCTGGAGCACCTTTCCAGAGAAGAGAGGCTGAGCGTCGGGATTCTCTTATAGCAGCCTTTCAGTACCCAAAAGGGCCTACAGGAAGCTGGAGAGGCATTTTGTACGTGGGTGTGCAGTGATAGGGCAAGGGATAATAAAAGAAGGCAGGTTTAGATTGGATATAAGGACAAATATCTTCACAGTGGAAGTGATGAGGCCCTGGCACAGACTGACCAGAGAAGTGTGAGTGGCCCACGTTTGGGGGTGCCCTGGGCAGGCTGGTCTGGTGCACGAGGGTTGGAAGTGGATGATCTTTAAGGACCCCTCCAACCCAAACCATTCTTGACTCAATCAGCAGGTGATCTTTAAGGACCCCTCCAACCCAAACCGTTCTTGACTCAATCAGCAGGTGATCTTTAAGGACCCCTCCAACCCAAACCATTCTTGTCTCAATCAGCAGGTGATCTTTAAGGACCCCTCCAACCCAAACCATTCTTGACTCAATCAGCAGGTGATCTTTAAGGACCCCTCCAACCCAAACCGTTCTTGACTCAATCAGCAGGTGATCTTTAAGGACCCCTCCAACCCAAACCGTTCTTGACTCAATCAGCAGGTTGTCTCTCTGCAAACACCATGCCTGAATTAAGATGGCTGATGCTATTGCCCCATTCCCACAGTATTACCCTGTTTCTGTCTGTGCTTTGGCAGCTCTCACACCAAGCACTTTCTCCTCTGAGCTGTCTTGCATATCTTCAGCTGCTGTGCAACGCCTTTCAAGGCCATGCAGAGCCACTCTCCACACTGCTGAGCAGAAGGATGTACGATAAGGGTCAATCTCTGTCATGACTGCTGTAGGTTGCAGTGGAATTTCTCACAGGGATGCCCCAAGAGCAGTGTCCAGAGAAGGGGCAGATGTTTGTCTGTCTTGGATTGATCTGTAGTGCTGAGCTGGTTGTTCTGTAAGTAGGAGTCCTGAAGGCTTTTGCCGTGCAAAACTGTGTTTGTGCAGTTTGTGCAGCTGAAGAGCTTTTGTGGAAGGCTGCATGAAAGGCTCCTCTCAGTGATGCCCTCTGCAGTGGCAGCTTCTCAGCATTGCAGTGTTTGCAGTACTGCATTCAGAAGTCAGGATAACGCCATCACAGTAGCAAAGGTGCTGTGTTATAGTCTATCATTTTTCTGGATATTATAGGCTTGGAAACTGTACCCATGAATGACTGTGCCAAGCCACAGCAAAACACTTAAAGTCTCGTTTTGCTTTCTGGACCATAGAAAAGAAGATGACTTTACATCCGTCAGTAACGGGTCACCACTGTTGGTTAATTAATCTGTGCTTTCCAGTCTGAAGCTTTCAATTCCTGGCCATTGGTTCTCTCTCTATAGCTGATCACAGAATCACCAAGGTTGAACAGACCTTCCAGATCACCCAGTCCAACCATCCCCCCATCACCAATAGTTCTCACTAAACCACGTCCCTCTACACAAAATCCAAACGTCCCTTGAACACCTCCAGGTCGGTGACTCCATCACTCCCTGGGCAGCCCATTGCAGTGCCTGGCCACTCTTTCAGAAAAGCAGTATTTCCTACCATCCAGCCTGAATCTCCCCTGGCACAGCTTGAAGCCATTCCCTCTAGTTCTCTCACTGTTACACGAGTTCATTTTCAGATTAGATTTGTGTTAGCATCTGAGGCAAAGCGATGGGTCAAAACTGCAAATGCATTTCTTCTGTATTTGCTCAGAGAGCGCAAAGTGAAATATTCCTGTTCTCTGTGCTGGAGTGTAGAGTGACAGAGCAAGGCTGGGAAAAGCACACTGCATTGCCAGAATTGTTGACTCCCCAAAATAGAAATTGTTGCTCGTCTGATAAAAATAATCCATGCGGAGCTGATGGAGCAGGGCATCCTGCACCGGGACGCATGCAGTAGTGATGGAGATGAATGCGAGGAGTGGGTGAAGCTCAGCTCCAGTCACGTCCATCATCAGAACGGGACTTTGAGCTCCATCAGCCCTTGTGCAGCCTTGGGCAGATGCCCATCTCCACAGTGCCCTAAAAGCAGCATTTACTTTTTTACCGTCTGCGTGAGCAAAGTGAGCTTTGGTGCTGTAGCATCACTTGGAATGAGTGATAATCTCTGCTGTCTGCTTGGCAAGGAAAAGCAGTGTCAGGGTGACACGGCTGCTGGGTGGCAAACCCACCTCATGCTGGAGGACTGCTGTCATTCTTCTAATGAGTGCATCCACAAATGGGCAACATTCCTGAAAGCACTTTTAGCCTAATGTAAGTTTGTATTAGGATACCTTATGGTACTCTTGGGAAAAGAAAGTGGGGAGGAGGGGGATTTTTTTGATAGGAGCCTTTTGCATTGGGAAGGGATACAGTACAATAGCAAAATTTCTGGGGGTACACAGACTTCAGTGTCTGTAGAAATAGGATCTGAGCAGCAGCTCTGCCATCCGCTGCGTTGGGTTGGGGTGGGGGTGAGGGCTGGGGGAGGGCAGCAGGAATTCCTGAGCCTCTCAGCTGCCATTGTAAGCCAGCAGCCCACCCGGCCACCAGAGCTATTTTGGTGAGCGCTGCCGTGACACAGGAACTGGGGAATGTGCTCTGAGCTGAAAGGGTCTTTCTGCTGCGCCGCCGGCAGCTGGGAGGAGGAGGCTGCAGCATTGTTCTCCCATTATCCCCACTTCACTGCTGAAGGCTTCGGTGGGGTAACAAACACTCTTTTATGGTACTAAAGGAGAAAAGGTCAGTGCTTCGTCTGGGATGGGTTCCGTGCAGAAAGAGCGTGTGAAGGGATCTGTGCTGTTACCCCCTGCTTAGCCGTTACTGCTGCGCGAGTGCGTAGCGATGAAATGGGCCCGCAGAACAGCGAGCGTGTGCGTGCAGATGGGACGGATCTGCATGGAGAACAGGGATGTGGCGTGACTGTGTGGGAGCTCAGTGGAGCAAGAGGAGAGATTTATGTTATTGTGTGTGCTGGGGGTACGTGGAAGTAAGCTGGGGTGAGACAGATGGTGTTTGGCAGTGTGTGTGGTGGTGGAGCTGAGAATGCTGCGGGAGGGGGAAGCCATGTGCTGCTCTTGGAGTTGCTTTTGTTGGAGAGCAGCAGAGTTGCTGAAATGCAAATAGGAGTGTAAATGAGAGCTGGAAAAATGCAGGGAGTGTGCGTGAGCCTGCTGATAACTCAGTGTGTGTATCGTGTGTGACAGCAAGGTCCTTTCTTAGAAGTAGCACTAGGGCTCACAGGACTGGCGATGGAGTAGAAGGTGGAATGGTGCTGTGGGCATTACTACTGGAGTTCCTCTCTCCCCTGTCCTCCAGCTCTGTGTTTTCTCTTCCTCTCCTTTTCCCTGCTCTCTTCATGTCTTTCTGACACTTCTGTTTCCTCACAGCCCGTTCATTGTGATAGGGCCACCTCCGGCACGGGGACTGACCGCACTATGCTGTCCTTGCCGGTGGCACAGGACAGCCAGGACTGCTCCCCAGCAGCAGCAGCAGCAGCAGCAGCATCCCTGACCACCAGATGTGAGCCTGGCCCTCCCCAGGACCCCGCGTCGCCCTGCCGGCGCACGTGCGGGGCAGAAAAGCCCCCTGTAGACGAACGGGATGCCAACCATTGCTCCCCTCCCCGGGAGCCAGAGGCACCAGAGCAAGAGTGCATGATCGACTCCCAGCCCATCCTCTTCAGCGAGAACCCCTTCGTGGTGGCCAACCGGAGGGGGAAGGCGGCGGGCAAGGCCTGCCTGGGGGGCCCCCCGCTGGGCTATGGCAGGGAGGGAGTGCTGAAGACCAACCTTTACTCCAAGGCAAGCGCTCTTACGGCGTGCAGCATGCGGTCACACAGGAGCCACGCAGCTCCTACTAAACCACGGGGCGTGCAAAGGCAGCACGAGGCCTGGGCTGCTCCCACCTAACGCACGTGATGTGTGTGTGCTGTCTGACTGTGGTCGTCCTCCAGCACTAACATACCGGCTGTGCATGCGCCCTCCGCCAGGAGGCCGAGACGTGGGGCTGGGGAGGACCTCCTCTCGTCATGGGCAGCCTGCAGGAGCAGCAGTGTTCCTGTGTTCCAGTGTTCTGGGGGAGCAGAGAGCTGCGGGGAGATGGCGTCACGTGTGTCTGTGGGCTTCAGCGAGCTCGGACGTGGTTAGAGCTCTCTGCAAGCAAAGAGTGTAGCTGAGGTAGCTAACTTCCAGCACAAGGGCGTGCTGTTCCTTGAAGGACTGCTTGCAGTGTATCAGACTTCTAGATTTCAGGAGAGAACATCCCTTCTTGCTGTGGGAAATCTGCTTGTATTTAAGTTCCTGTAACCCACAACATTGCCGGGAGGACTCAGCCCAAAGGTGTTGCGGGTGAGCACTGCTCTCCTCTTCATCTTGGCCTTTTTGGGGATCTGACAGCAAGAGAAGCCGAAGAACCGCATGCAGACAGCACCCTCCTGCCACAGATACAGCAGTGGGAGGAAGCAAGGCTGATCAGCCAGCTGTAGTTGTCTTAGGTGGTCGTAGCCCAGTTCTGTGGTGGCAGTTTGTCTTTTCCACATGTGTAGGCATTTGAAAATAGAGCAAGGCATCTGACAGAACGTCTGCAACATCTCAGTGTATTAAAAGTCAAAGTTTGTGCTTTGAATTGATACATATCTAGATTTATAGTTAGTGGACCAGAAAAGGTGGATTCATCCACATCCAGCGATCATCAGTCAGGAGGTGGCTGTCACAGTTAGCTTAAGCTAATCTGATTCCACAGTGCTGTCGTAAAAAGACTGCTCCCCATCATCTGTTCTCCTGTGTGCTGGCAGCAGAGCTGTGTCAGGTGGGCCAGGGAGCTGAAGGGTTTTCTTTGTAGGATGAGTTCTTTGCAGAGCAGCAACCTCCTCGGTGGGTGGATGAACAGCACGTGGAGGCTTTGGGCAGAGGATGACGGAGCCAAACAGAGCGGGAGCACTGCAGTGGTGCCATGGAAGTGATGGGTTTGAGACTGCCGTGTGCTGTCACTGTGGTGAGAGGAAGGATCAGATATTTTCTCCAGTGTAAGCTTTAGGTTCCATCCCCTGGCTTGGGATATGGAAATATATACCGTTGCCCACAGCTGACCCGAGTTTCATTAACAGGATTCACTACTGCATGAGTAACAATAATAATTGCAAAACCCAGAGATTTGCTTCAAGAACTGTTGAAATCTCAAAGGACCCATTTCCACTTTTAGGCATCTGAAATGGTTTTTAGTGGTGTTCCTTAACCAGCACGACAGCTATTGGGACTCTGCCCTTGTGATGCTGCTGTGGGGGTTTCTGCAGAAGGGGTGAGAGCTTTGTCCTTCCTGTGCTCTGCCCTGCTCTGCAGCTGCAGGCCAGCTGCAATGGATGTGGCTGTGAAAGAGTCTCCTTTTGGTTACGAGTGGCTTTTGTTGCTTCAAGACATGAAGTTTCTCTCAAGCTGGGGGAGAGGATTCCCAGAAATCCTTGCAAGGCAGAAGTCTTAACCCGGTGTCGTTGGCTGTGCAGGATGTTCGGATGCGATCTGAGCTCTGTTTCATACAGTTCTCCTGCTGTTTCCAGTGCTTTTTGCAATATGACGCCTGCCGTTAGGCCAACGCTAACTCTGCTTTCTTGTGGTGAAGTGGTCCATAGTTGCCCTCAGGCTGGATATCAGAGTGTGGAAGTTGCTGCTGCACAGTAATTCTCGAGCTTTGTCTCCTCTCTTGCAGATTCCTGAGTCGGGGACAGGAAATTCGAGGCGAGAAACCCCCTATTCTCCCAGTAACCAGCAGGTGAGGCTGCACGTAAGGCAGGCAATGGGGAGAAGGCAGGTGTGCTTCCAGGGCAGAGTTGGGCAGCAAGGCAGAGGGAGCTGAGGATAATTCCTTTATTTGAGAGCCATTCCTGTATTTGAGAGCAATACCTTTGTGGTGGAGAAATCCCTTCTAGGATGCAACTGGAGAACAAGGGAAGGAGCTCTTCTCTTTCAAAATGTTTCTGAGACCCAGAATTTACTTAGCTGCTCATAAACCCAGTGGAGAGCTACTGTTCTAAGGGTTAATTTAATTATCAGAGTAATTAACGAGCAGGGGAGTACCTAAGATGACTACGAAGCGGTCGTTGCCTGTTTTGAGAATGGCTTCACCAGTGCCTCACGCAGGCTGTGTTGAATTCTGCACGTCAGAAGAAGTGGGGAAGTGAAGGTTTGCAGAAACCTCAGCTCTGTAAATCACTGCTGTTGCTGCCCCCTGTTCTGTTGCTGCTCACACGGGCTCTTCAGAAGAGAACCAAAGGAGCTGTGCACACACTTATGGGCTCACCTCCCCAGAGGGGGGACTGATTTTCTGGAAGACTTAAGCCCCCTTTCTTTCTGAATTTTTTGATTTTTACCTTTCAATTTTCTTGTAACTTTTGGGTTATTTTCGTCAGCGTTCCCTATTCTCACTGGCTCTTCTTGTTACACGTGCAAACTGTGATCCTTTATTTAAAATCTCGTGAAGTTTTAGATGTCAGTGTTCGTTCTATGGCAGTGGGTTTCACAAAGCAGGTGAGCCTTTTGAAATGAAATACTCTGAAGTGGACGTTGAAATTTTCCCTTCGCGGACATTATGGGATCGCATTGTGAGCTGTAATGAAGTGAAAATTGTGCTGTGTGCTCTGTCCTCAGTTATTTGCATCCATTGGGAGTGTGGCTGCTCTGCAGCTGTTGGGACCGAACAGCTCTGGCAGTCTTTGGTTGAGCCATTCCAGCAATCTGAGGTTGACAAAAGTGAACTGCCTTTTTTGCTCAGTTAATTTGGAACCAGCTCGCTGAGGTGAATTGCATCATCTTGGGGTGAGGTGACCGTTAACACTGACAGTAGTAAGAGTCAAGAACAAGAGTCAAAAGCATATGGCTGGGAGCAGTGGATAGAACGCTGGAGCTGTCGTAGTTCAGTCCATCTTCTGTTGCTTCCTTATGCTGCCTTGCATCTCCTTCAGTTCCTAGATCCTTAAAATCAAGTGAGCTCCAGGGGCACAGGAAGACTGAGGGAAGGTACTGTTCGTTATGGTAATGCAGTGTCAGTGCATTCTCTTCCAGCTCCATCCGATTGCTTTTCTGGCAGCAGATGTACACTCAGAGGTGTATTTTGGGCTCTTTGCCTGTAGGTTTTCCTTTGACCACAAATGCCAGCTTTCTTTGAGGTCCTTCCCATCTAGAGGTATTCTTGGGGTGAGGATGGTACTCCTCGTTCTGCAATGGACAGAGATCTAGATATTCACTTACTTCACCCTTGAGCTCAGCTTTTGGATGAAAAAAGTGCACAGGTTACTCGGGGCCATGGTCACCAAATTCCAAACACCTCCAGGGAGGGAGAGCCCACATCTTTCCAGCCAGCAGCTCCAGTGTGTGACAGCCCTCACTGTGAGATTGCTGGTTTATTATTATAATAATTGGTTGATTATTATTTTGAATTTAAACAGGTATTTGGGTGGAGTGTTCCTAGTTCCAGCTTGTCGTAGTCAACTGCTGTGATACTCTGGTACTTTTTGTAGAAGTGCGTTGGCATTGGAGGCACAGTGACACGTCCTTGCCACCAGCCGCCCTGCAGCTAATGCCATTCTTAACTCTGGATGGGCTTTGCTCAATGAAGGACCCTGGTGGTTCATTGTTATTTGATTCCTTTGGCAATAGTGATCATCTGGCTTTTCCTAGCAGCGACTGTTTGATAGCGGAACCTTTCCAAGTAAAACCATTCACTCCTTCCTCCTTGAGTTCTGAGAAGGATAAAACAGATTTAATTTGTGTTCTGCAGAGTTCAGAGCATCCCAGGAGCGTTTCTGCAGGTGCAGGCCTTTCCCTTCCCAGTTTTAAGAGGGATCTCTCTGTTACGCAGCACTGGCTGTACTTTATATTCTGTCACTTCAAGCTTTTTGTGTCATCAGTTCCCTGTACCTTGAGTGAACCATTTTGAATAATCTCTCCAGCTTTTCTCTTGCTTTTCTGTGTTCAGAGCTGAGTAAGCCTTAAGAGATGCTGCTGATTTCTTACAACGTTTCTGACCTTCTCTTGAGTTTGTCATTCATTTTAGTCTCTTAAGGTCCTTAGAAAACCTTTCCTCGCTGCTTTGATTTCTGAGATCCAATCTTTGTGTTGTTTTAACGGCCTTTTTTTCCTTATTTCTTCTGTGGCTGTTAGGACTCAGTAACTTGGGCACTTGTTTCCTAAGGTGCCATGTGTCACAGTGCTGAGCCATTAGCCTTGCTAGTGACACTCTCCACCCATCTTCTATTCCATCCACGAGTTTTCTGGTGCACACACACGTGTGATTTAATGCCTCTGAGTCAGAGCCTTGTGCAACAGTCTCCTGCATATCAGGTGAGATGATATCAGGTGGAATTAGTTCTTGAGCAGTGAATGTTATGCAGAATGGTCACCCAGATGTTACCAAAGGACATAAGACAATCACTGTGCTGTCCTGGACGTGCCACGAGATTGCACTCAAGATGATTGCTCCACTGTTTGCAGCGGGTTTGTGCATGCAGTGGGTCTTCTTCCATGGCTGACAGCAGAGGTGGGCAGTGAGCCTTCCTTTGGGGCAGGGAGCAGTGGGGCACTGATGGCACCAGGCGAGGGCGTTCTGTGTGCTGGGGAAGCTCTCAGCCTCACCGGGGCACGCGGGTCTCTCCGTTTTCTCTCCATTCTCTCCCCTGGTGTTTCCCCCCTGCAGATGCCCGCAGCTGCTCGGCCAGGCAGGGAGACACGCTTTGTAAGTTCCCTCTGGTGTGCAGTGTGTGCTGCTGCTCCGTGCTGCTCCATGCTGCTCCGTGCTGCTCCCACCTGGCCCTGCTGTTTTCGCTTCCTTTAGCTCCGTGCTGCCCGGCTCGCGGGCTTGGGGTGCCCCTCAGCTTGCTGCAGAGCAGTGCCCGGGCAGCTGCTCTGCTCTCAGGGCTGTTCCCTGCTCCTTCTGCTGAGATGGCCAAGAAGCTGCAGTGCTGATGACTTTGCTCGAGCGCAGGGGATGCAAAGAGGGGCCACGATCGGCTGAGCTGGAGGAGAAGTGGAGAGGTGGGGGGGTTAATGTGTGAAGTGCAGAGAATTGTGAGTGTCTTCTTGCAGAGGAACTCAGAGAAGCTGCTCTTTGAGCTGCTCCCCACGTGGAGAATGCATTGCAGGGGGTGATGTGGGACTTGAAAGCTTTGTGCTGTATGGGAAGAAGGGCAGGGGGAAAGAGTTGGGTAAGTCTGTTTTTGAATGGAGCAGGGTTAGCTGAAGGGTTCCGTTATGGACTCCGCATTGACTTCTATTTCTGCTTTCAGGCTTCCATTAACTTCATTGCATCGCAGGATGACAGCAGATCAGTAAGTACATCTGCTCTGAGACCTTCCAGTAGTGTCCTCTGTGTATCCTCCAGCATGTAAAGCTTGCCTCTTCCTCCTGCGTGTGCTTACTTCCAGCCTGCTTACTTCTCACTGTTGGCTCTGTGTTCTTTTCTCAGTGTCCCTCCAAGTTTGTACAAATGCATTGTCTTCAATATTCCTACACTGAAAACTCAATGTTTATAGCTTTTATTCCTGCTTACATTAGCAGTTTGCTCTTGTGGTTTTTCTGGCCAATTGTGCTTCTGGTCCCTTTAAGTATTGGAGTTTTGTTCACTTCCACACAATACCCAGCACTGATGACATCTTGGTCCCCTGTCTCCCCTCTCTGCTCCTATCTGTCTGCGTTCCTAATTGCAGGCCTCGCTGGTGTTCTGTTCATTGCACCACAACTTCTGCCAGTGCCCGTTCCCAGCTGTATCTCCCATTCATGATGCTTACACTCCCTAAGCTCTGACATATCTGTGCCGTTCCCCTCTGACTGCTGCAGCTGCCATTTCTATGGCAGCTCGTCACTCGGGCATCACTTAACTCATTGGCGTTGCTTTGCCTGAACCTCTTTGCTTCTCCAGATGCTTGCACCAGAGACGTGGCTTTGTGCTTAGTGTTTGCTGCAGTAGCTCTCCTTCCCAAGGACTCACCTCGCTGCCCTGACCGCTCAACTCTTTTCTCTCCCTCTCTCTCTTCCTCTGCATTTTCCCCCCTCCTGTGGCACTGACACAAGCAGACCAAGCCAGGCGTCATTCAGCCTCTTTCTCGAGCGCGACAAAATGCTGCCTCGCATAACCCGGAGGAGGGGGACAGCCCCAATCCCTTCCAGCAGCCCGAGCCGTGCTCCGCTGTCCACAGCTCTGTAAGTGGCCACACTTCCTTCTCACTCTGCTTGTCCTAGGCTGCTCCGCTGCCACTTAGAGTGATGCTGAGGCGTGAAACCTTGTCTGTCAGCGCCTTGCGTCTTGGGGCAAAAGCCAGTGGCATCTGTAGTAAGTTTGGAGATGTGCAAAATGATCAGTTTTCCTTCAGAGATTCTCATTCCCAGGGCTTTATGTTGATGGGAGAGAAGGTTTTATGTATTTTGGTCTTCTCCTGGGTAAGAGCTGCTGCTGCAGAATTGAGAGTTCTGAGTTCTGCTTGCAGAATTGTCTTTTTATTGAAGCGTGTATGGATTTGTACCAAATCAGAAGCACAACAGCCACTGGAGAAGAAGGAAAAGACAAGAAAAAAGGAGTGACACTGGTAGATCTCTTCCAATGAGGAAGGTTCTGTTAGTCAGAAATGCTGGATAAGGCCAGAGCTTATCTCTCATTTCCCAGTGGACTGGATTTGTCTTTCTCAGTCCGAAGGAGCACTCAGTTAACTGTATGTCACTGTATTCCACCTCCAAAAGCCCATTGATTGATGGGTGCGTGCTCACTGAGTTGGGTGCAAATCCTTTAGGACCGTGACATCAGTTTGGCCCCATGGCCAAGAGATCAGTCACGAAATTCTGGTGAAGTCGATGAGGATTGGTGCCACCAGAATTACTGTTCCTCCACCTGCCAAGAAGGAAAATGGGGCTATGCTACTTGTGCTGCTCTATAAAGCACATACGCAGTGCAGTGCTCACCCTTCTGCACAAGGCCGTAGCAGCCATCTCTTTCATATTCCAATGCTCAGGCTCTGCAGGATGAGCATTTCGAAGCGTTTCCCCCACGTTCTGTTTTTTTGTAACAACTGTGATTTTTTTGTTATGTTCTGTTTTTGTCGCTGTAGCCAAAGCCACCATCACCACCCTCTCCTGATGAGATTCCCATCAACGTCAAGCAAGCATACAAGACTTTTGCAGCAGTGCCCTTGTCACACCCTCTGCTCGAGACACAGGTAACTGCTGCTGGTTGGGGGCAACGCCACCCAAACAGTGGAACACAGAGAAGAAGGAGCATCACAAGTGAGGGTAGGAAGGAGACAGCAACTGGTTCATCGCAGACAGACCTGCTTTGAGGGAGGGATGTGTCGTTGTCTTGTTGGAATTTGGGGTCTGCTCACACTGCAGGTGGTCACCCTGCAGTGACCCATGAAGACTTACCCATGAAGTACTGAAAGCTTACTGGCTTTCATAGCACTGTTCTCCCAGGGCATTAGGGTGATAAGTCTTAACCTTGCTGTTCTGATACAAAGAAGCCCACTGAGCTTCCAAGACATAGGGCTGGGCCAAATCTGCTCCAAGAACATTCTGGTTGGAGGTAAGGCTGAAGTTGAAGGTAGTCTATTTTCTCTCCTCCTGTGATTCATTTTCACTTATATAACTAAAAAACAGTCTTCTCTGTAATAATTCTTGGCAGTTCTCATGATACCCTTACAATTTCTAATTTCTGGTTCACAAATCAGTTTTGTGGATCAATTTTTTTTACTCCCTATCGTTCTGATCTTCTGATATTATGTTATTTATTCCGTTAAATAGGGATTTATTATCTTGACAGTGAAGCTTCCACTTCTTAAAATCAAATTTTAAGTAGATTTATCATTCCACCAAGTGATGTCCCTGACTGTTGCTGTTGATGTGACGTCGGTGACCCTTGGTTGTGGGGGAGGAGTGATGGCACACGACCATCCTTTTGATGCATGCCTGTTTCTCAGTGTCCTTGGGAATGGCTTGCTCAGACCAGCGCAGAGAATCATAGAATCACAGAACCCCAGCATGGCCTGGGTTGCACAGGAGCACAGCGCTCACCTGGTTCCAACCCCTGCTGTGTGCAGGTCGCCAACCAGCAGCCCAGGCTGCCCAGAGCCACATCCAGCCTGGCCTCCAATGCCTGCAGGGATGGGGCATCCACAGCCTCCTTGGGCAACCTGTGCCACTGCCTCACCGCCCTCTGGCTGAAAATCTTCCTGCTAAGGAAGAAACCCAAACCAGCCCCAGAGTTGAGGTCTGGTGGCTGGGGCAGGAGCTGGGTCAGCACCTCGGAGAGGATACAGGCTTTGTGGACTGTGGATATGGAGAAAGCATCCCAGTGCAGGCACAGGGGAAGGCTGGGGAAGGGGGAAGGGAGTGCTGTGGAGCACGGGGCTGAGGCTGGGGCTTGGCTTGGGCGCTCTGTGAGCAGTGCCTCTGTGGGTGTTCACAGGTGCCGACGCAGAGCCTGCACAGCCCTGAGCAGCGATCCTTCCGTGAGAGGCAGAAATACTTCGAAGTGGAGGTGAAGCAGCAGCAGGTGGACAAACCTCCCAAACGCGTCTCCTTGGTGGGAGAGGATGACCTGAAGAAGATGAAGGAAGAGGAAGGTACGTTTCGTTCTGTGAAGGGAAATTTGGCCTCTGAAGTGAAGCATCAGACTGCACACACTGGGAATGTAACACCTACAAAAGCTTGTAGGAGGTCATTTATAATTACAGGGTCGTTAAGATTGGAAAAGACCTTTAGGGTCACCAAGTCCAACCCCAACCCATCCCCACTGTGCCCATTGATCACGTCCCCAAGTGCCACATCTCCAAGCTTCTGGAGCTCCTCCACTCCCCCACCTCCCTGGGCAGCTGTGCCAATGCCTGGCTGCTCTTTTAGAGAATAAATTTTTCCTAATATCAAACCTGAACGTCTCCTGGCACAACTTGAGGCCACCTCTCATAATGGGGAATTGGAGCTTGATGATCTGTAGGGTCCCTTTCAACTGAAGTCCTGATGTGATTCTGTAATTTTTGATTGCTTGATGCATGTGAACATCAAGGATTTTATTGGCTGCTGCTCTGTGTGGACAGGTGGTGGTGCTGTAGGGTCAGGGTTTCCTGGAGTTCATCAAACACTTCAAAACAATTTTACAGAGCTACTGCAAATGTGTTTCTTTGTAAGATGCCAGAGTTGATTAGCAGGAGGTTTGACCTGGTGCAATCCTGCAGGGATGAAAATGGGATTGCCTGTGACATCTTTATGCAGGATCGTGTGACAGAAGAGCTTTCATTGCCTGGTATACTGCTCTGATTATGTGCAGTACTTTCACAGGAGGGAAAATGACTGCTGTGGTCTTTGATGTAATTTCTTCCTGTTTGGACAGTGCTTTAAATGTCAATCAGGAACAACAGTGATTGATTGAAGGGGTTCTAGTGAAGTTTGGTCCCCCCCCATAAGAAAATACAGGTGGGATTAAATTCCTGGCTTTGGGAGCTGTGACTCACTGCTGCTCACGAGAGTTATAGAAGAATTCCTTTTGCAAACTGACTCTTTCGTTCTGTACCTTGCTGTTCTTCCTGCCTTCCCTCCCATATGTCTGTTCAGAGGCTGTTTGTGAATGGGTGTGAAGCATCAGAAGCATTCTTAGTTTCAGGAACATGAATACAAACTGAGACAAGAGTAAGCTCATAACAGATATCCTGACAGGTAGAAAGGAAGGTAAGAAAAAGAAATTGCAGCTGTCCTTTGGAGTTTCTTTGATGTGATGTGGCTGAAAGAATCACACATCCAGCCTGTAAAAATGTTCTGGGTGCATCAGATTCTTTATGTACAAAGAACACGATGGGAAGGAGAACTGCAGAGTTTCAGGTTTGAATTTGAGCTTGTTTTGAGAGTGGGAGTGTGGGAGATGAGGAGAAACGTTGCCTCTCATCAGGAGCACTGGAATGTAAAAAGAAAATGCACCTAAGGGAGAGAGATCCCTTGTTGAGTAAGGGTGGGACTGAAAGAATGGAGTGGAACTTTTACACCTGAAGCATTGGAGGAGTGGAGGAGAAACAAACGCTTGTCGAGAAGAGGGTAAGCTTAAAGCAGCACAAAGCTGCAGTGATGTTGAGTGCAAGGTCCTGCCCAGAGTCTGCATCCCTGTGGGATTTAGTGGAGTTTAATGTGGTGTAAGATGAGTCCGTCTTGTTTTGGCAGCTCGAAAACTGCAGCAGAAACGTAGCCTTCTGTTGGAGGAAGAAGTGGAAGAGGACGAGATGATAAAACAAGTGCCTGAGATGAGCATGCAGTCCACTGTCATCATTGAAGGAGTTGAATACAAGATTGAGAGGCTGAATGGAAGGAGCAGCCAGGCTCCAGCAACTCGGTAAGACTATGGAGCAGCATCTCAGTGCCACCCCTGTGTGTCAGAGAAAGCTCTGAGGATGAGTCCAGCTTTCAGCTCCCAGTTCTTATCTGTGCAAGGACAGCTGCAGATAGAAGACTTCCAGTTACCTTTTATTTATGCTTGGACAAGGGAGATGCAGTAGAATAGGCTGAATTTGTGCATTTTGGAATATTTTTTCATGCTGAGACTGGAATTTAAGCAAAGCAAACCTGAGTAGTAAAAAGGAAAGCTCAAATTCATGAGCTTTCTGATTGCCAGCTAAGGCACAGTAGCTGGGGACACCTTCATCTGTGCAAAGCAGGGTTGTTTGGCTTGCTGTCAGCTGATGTGATGTGCAGTGGTTTGGTCACTGAGCACACGACTTCAGTTTGTCAAGCAGTTGCACATAGAATGTCTGTGTAGAGAATTTGTCAGGATTTGTCCCTACCCCAAACATGCATTCATTTACAGCTCAGGAGGATCAGCCTTTGTTAACGTTCATGCATATCCAACATCAGCAGAGGAAAAGGCTGGGAGCAGCCAGGCTGTAAATCACGTAAAGGGAGCTGGAGAGCATAAACTGTTATGAAATCAACAAGGAAATGCTTGCAGTAATGGAGAAAAAAAGATGTTGAGCAAAAACATTCTAGGTTGTGTCTTCAAACGGGTCTGTGTTGTGTTCTGGGGTGTGCATCTATTCTGAAGCAGCCTGTGGCACTGCTGGCTGATGTGCTCGTCTGGTTTAGGACCTCAGAGGTGAATGAGAACAACAGCTCACAGAGGAATTCACTGGAAGAAGGAATGAAGCCTGAACAGAGAACGAACTCCATGTCTGGGTAAGGGGATGAGCAATGTGCTTTGCCTTGAAACTGCCAGGTGATGGAACAAGGGACTCCTACTTTTTAGCAGATAAGGAGTGTAAAAGGAGAAATCTTGTGGAGAAGATGAAACTAATTGGAAAAAAACACCTTAGCAGAAACTTACCTCTGTGTTTGTGTTCTTCTTCTATCCTTCAAAATGATGTCCTTGGATTTGGGGGTGGTGCAGAACAGCGTCTGAGGGTGTTGGTCATCACCTTACCATCGCCTTGAGAAGAGCAGGCAGTGCTGAAGTGGATGAGGGCTGCCTGTTTCTCACTGCTTCTCTCTCTGCCCAGGTTGAGTCCATTAAGCCTTGCAGCAGGGGATGCGTTGGCCCCGGTGCGCACAGCCAAAGCGGAGCGGCGGCACCAGGAGAGGTTGCGAATGCAGAGTCCTGAGCTCCTGAGCAGCCAAGAGAAGGAACTTTCTCCAGCAGAACGTCGTGCTCTGGAGGCAGAGAAGCGAGCGATGTGGAGGGCAGCACGGTGAGACAGAAGGAGCTTCATCGTTTTCTTTTCTAGGCCAGTTCAGGGAAGAATCCGGGGTGTTCAGGTGGGGAACAGAAAAACTTCCCTTCTGCCATATGTTTGCAGAGGTTGTAGTTGCACATTTCTTCCGTTCAAACAGTGCGGAGCATCCGCTGCTTGGCTGAACTCGTCTGCTTCTGACCAGCTGTGTGAGTGAGAAGTCCCATATTCCAACTGTGTCTGCACAGACCTGAAGATAGTGGAGTTTTATTTAAAAAAACCAACAATTCTGATGTCTGTGTGTGACAGCAAATGCATCTCTTGCCTTCCAGCACACCATTCCCCATCTCTTTTGTAACACGAGAAAGATCACATTTCCCCAAGCTGCAGGCTGACGTATCCAAAACGAAAAACAGCAAGAACAGTTCATAGAGTCAGTGTTGCGAGGCTGCTAGGTTTGCTGAAGTCAAGTCAAGTCAAAAACTGAGCAAGATGAGGGAATTTTTATCCACACAGGTTGTATCGTGAGCTACGACAGAGTGAGTCAGCATCTGTTTTGAAAGCTTCAGAGCTTTAGATTGGAAGTCGGTCCAGGCCCTTGCTGTGTAATGTAATTCCTTTAAAGAATTAGTCGAGCTGCTGCTATAACTGATTACAGCTTTCCTGTCTGCTACAAGAGCATTCCGGGACTCAAAATAAATCTGAAATGCTCTTTCTGGGGAGGTTGAATGGGAGGCTGTAGAAGAACAGCAGAGCTAATGACTCGCCTTTGCCAGACTGCTCAGTGGGATGCTGGAGGGATTGGTGTGAGGTGATACAACCCAAAACCTTCATGTTTGAGGTGAGATGTGGATCCTAATGGTGCCACATCCCTCTGGAGAGGCTCTGGGGATGAAGAAATCCTTGGGTGGAGTTCACAGTGATGACGGCTCACCTGGAGCTTTGCAGAGGGCTCAGCGTTCCATTGTCACTTCATCATAGGACAGATCTGCTTGTGGCTTTGATTATGCTTATTTAGAGCTGTGCTGAGCTAAGGTTTGCAGTTACTGAGGCTCTTCCCCTTTAGAAGAACACTTTCTTGGCATGCTCCAGCTCCATTGCTGTGGATGATCCCTTTACCTGGTCTTTCTCAGCTGTTGCTTTTTTTTTATGAAGCACTACCTTAATTCCAGTGCAGTGCTCTGCAGTGTCAAAAGACTGATCAGCTCACTGAAAAGCTTGCCAGTTAGAATCACTCTTCATTTGGAAGAGTGATTTCTGTTATCTCGTAGCATCCTTGTTACACCTTTGAAGCTGGCGCTGCTTGGAGTGGTTTTAGGTGACCTCCAGAGGTCCTGGGGGAATTTGCACTCAGCAATCTCTCCTTTGCCTGCACCCCAGAAATGCAGGTCCAGCAGTGACCACAGTGTGGTGTGACAGAATTGTTTCCTCTATGGGTTGTTGATTCAGACACGGTGAGATTCTGTCTGCTTCTCTGACTTGCTGAATGTTCTGCAGTCTATGGCATCACACTCCTGCTCCAGTTGATGTTATTCCTGTGGTTGCTGTGTCACAGCTTTTCAGGAGGCATCATTTGCAAATGAAAGTCCTGTGTTTTCACATTAATCCAGGAATAACCCTTTTCCAAAAACAGTACGTGTGTAAGGAAGAGTGTTTGACAGCAATACTTGCTGTAATAGAGGCACTGGCCTTTGATTACAAGACCAGAAGCTGGATGGGTGTCACAGAACCAATTAAAGAGTCCTAAATCATGGAATCCTTAGAGCTGAAAGGGACCTTTAAAGGCCATCTGGTCCAACTCCCCTGCAGTGAACAGGAATGTGCACAGTGACATCAGGATGCCCAGGGCCTGATCCAGCCTCTCCTTGAAAGTCCCCAGCGATGGAGCATCCACCACATCTGTGGGCAACGAATGTGTGCTTACAAACTATTGGGAGAGGTTGGGCTGGGACTGATCCCAGATTCTGGCTCTGGCACGTGGTTCCTTATGAACTTGGTCAGATCTCTGAGTCTCTGCACTGCGAGGACTGTAATAGCGAGTCTGTCTCACAGGAGGGCTGGGGGTGTTAAATACATGAAATACTGCACATGATAGGACGCTGTTTGAGTACCACAGACACACTGGGAGAAGGCAAACTCTGTAGAGTTGCTACTCACGTTTGGTGTCTTAAAAAAACAAACTAGAAAACAACCACGCCAACCTCCACTGTTGCATTTGGTCCAACAGAAGAGAAGTTGGCTGCTGTGCTTCCCCACCTGAAGCTCAACATCATTCTGCTTTGAGAAGTGGTGGGGATTGATCTGCCGTCCCTTTCCAAGCAGAACACCAGGATGTTCTCTCCCTCATGCCTACCATTCCTGTGTATCTTTCTCTGATGGGGCAGGGTCTGTCAGGTTTGATCTGTCATAAGCCTGAATATTAGCATGCCCAGTGCAGCTTCTGTCAGATTCAATGTTCAGTTTATGAGTTCTGCAGAGCAGCTTCTCAGCTTCATTTTGCTTCTGATAGCAAGGTGTATTTTTCCTCTCCAAGAAGCGTCTGGCTGTTCCTTGGGCGGTGTTAAGGCCTGACTTATTGACAGTGGCAGGGATCATCAGCACAGTGAGCTCCTCCAGACCAAGGGCAGACTGTCCCTACCGCCACAGATCTCACTGATGTGAGCCATCTCCTATCACTGCTGCAGAGTGGTGACGTGGTGGCAGCCAAGGCTCGCGTCTTGTTTCCCCGTGCAGCCCCACACGTGCTGTGTGGGGAGGATTGCCTCACTAACGTGTATTTTCTTGAAGTGCATGATTTTATTACTTTCTTTCTAATCTTCTATCTTCTGCTTCTTTCCAGTTCTCTGGTCTGTGTGCTGTCACTTGTGACCCCATCAACTCATACCACCTTGGGCTTTCCCTTTTCTCCCTGTGTCATCAGTGCCCTGCCAGGACATGCGGTGCCCCCCCACCACCACACACCCACTCCCTTTCCTCTGCTGGGGAGACACACGGGGACCCATCCTCCATAGGTGATCTCAGCACACACAGATGCTGACGTTTGTGCCCCAGGAAGGCTGTGACTGAGGGGGTAAAGGCACACGTTGAGAAGGAGCAGCAGCCTGCTGAGGCCAACATGCGCCCTGCTGGTTTTTCCAATGCGCTCCTTTGTGGATGCACTCAGCTCTGAGATTGCTTGCGTTCTGGTGCCAAACAGACCCTTCACAATGTGCTTGCTCATTTTGCATTGGTGTGGCTTCACTTTGCCTAGCATACGTGAGCTCCGCAGTATTAGAAGGATATAAAAATAAGAGAATGTGCCCAAAGGAGGACAACCAACAAAGTTGGTTAAAGGAGCAGAGAGGGAAATATTGGAGTGCATCCAGAGGAGGGCCACAAAGATGATCAAAGGGCTGGAGCACACCCCTGTGAGGAAAGGTTGAGGGAGCTGGGCTTGTTTATCTTGGAGAAGAGAAGGCTCCAGAGAGACCTCATTGCAGCCTTCCAATATTTGAAGGGAGCTTAGAAGCAGAAGAGGGATCAACTTTTTACACCATCTGATAGTGACAAGATATGGGGAAATGGCTTTAAGCTAAAAGATGGGAAATCCAGTTCAGATGTTAGGAAGAAATCTTTTACTCAGAGGGTGGTGAGGTACTGGAACAGGATGCTCAGAGAGGTTGTGGATGCCCCATCTTGGGAGGCATTCAAGGCCAGGTTGGATGTGGCCTTGTACAGCTTGATGTAGTGATTGGCAACTGTCCCCAAGGCAGGGGGTTGGAATTAGATGATCTTTAAGGACCCCTCCAACCTAAGCCATTCTGTAACTCTGTGATATGTATGAGGAGCAGCCACACTTTGTTCAGCTGAGAGAAGACAGAGGGGAGGCTTCGTGGCAGCCTGCAGCTCATTCGTGGCAGCCCACAGCCAACTTATGATCTCTGCTGTTTGGTGACAGCAACAGGACCCAAAGAAACAGCACAGAGCTGTGTCGGGAGGGTCAGGCTGGGGGTGAGGGAAAGATTCTGCACCAGAATGTGAGCTTGGAACAGGCTCCCCAGGCTGGTGGTTGTGGTTCCAAACCTGTCAGCAGTGCTGAAGAAGCATTTGGACAATGCTCTTAGAGTTGTGGTTTAACACTCACCTTGCCCTTTGTGGAGTCGGGAGCTGGACTCAGTGCTTGCCATGGGTTCCTTCCAACTCAGTTATCCTGTTTTACAATGGTCAAACAAAAGTAAATGCTGACAGATGGTCAGATATGTATGAGCATGCAGTGTACATGGAGGTGATGAAGTGTGCGTGCACGCACGTGTGCTCATGCCCTGCACTCCATCAGTCTGCTTTACACACACACATACACACACAAACTTCTTTGCAGCCACTGCTGAGCCTTTTGCACTGATCTGCTGATGTTTCCAGTCCTCCCAGCACGTGAGGAGGGCGTTCTCTAGACATGTAGTCTCTGAAGCAAGCACTTCTGGGCACATCATCCAGGTTGCCCTCTTCTGCAGCAGTTGGTGCTGGGAAGGACGAGGTGTAGGAGCCTGTTGTAACCATGGCTGCTCCCTTTTCAGACATACATTTCTCCTTGCCAGGGTATGTTCCTGTATCTGTTTCTTTCTCTCCCTGTATTTGTCCACTGTAATGTTCATTACCATCATCTCCTCTTCCTTCTCCTTTTCCTCTTCCTCTCTTCCTCCTCCTCCTCCTCCTCCTCAGATCCTCAACTCTTGAAGACAGTATTAAACAGTACGAGCAGGATCTGGCCAGGAAGCTGTACCAGTCCCGGCAATGGGCTCCTGCTCCCGGGGCCAGGCCAGCTCAGATGCCTAGTCCAGTGCAGAGTCACGCCTCGAGAACCCCTGGGTCAGGAAACCAATCCAGGTGTGCACAGCCCCATCCCTGCCAGCTGCATGCTCCGTCCTGTCTGTGTCCCCCATCCTAACACCGTGCTCCCAGCTGCGTCCTTGTAGGGCTAGGGAGGATTCAGTGGTGCTGGAGTTCATTTCCCTGAGGTACCACAGACTACTGGCAGTCAGTGGGGATGATGGGTGGACGCTGGGTCTGTCTGGTTGGGTGGGAGCCGGCGTTTGTGAGGGCTGAACCCCCTTTTTCAGAGGTGATTTATAATGTCCCAGTGGCAGCAGAGGGATGAAGTGTGGCACACTTGAGAACACAGGAGAGTAAAGCCCTGAAAGCTCACCTAGACATTGAGCCCTGGCAGTTCCCCGTCACGTTCCTCAATTTGGATTGCTGTCTGTCACACACGGCGCCTCTGGGAAGGCCTCCAGCATCTCATGGGTTGATGCTGAGCTCCAGGCTCTGTTCAGCACACGTGACAACATGGACAGTAATGTCTGATGACAGCAAACTGAGCTGTTCTCTCCTGCTCTGAAAGTCTGTCTGCTGCGGGGAACCGAGGGTTCGTCTGGCCTTTCTGCACTCAGCTTGTTGACTGTGGTTCAGCCGCTGGGCACAGAAGACGGCATTCATCTCTTATAGAGAAAGCAATGTCTGATGTCTTTTTCTCCTTCCGTTCCTCCTCCTTTCTGAGACAGGATGAAATCCCTTGAACAGGATGCTCTTAAAGCCCAAATGGTCATTGCCAAGTCCAAGGAGGGAAAGAAGCGCAGCACTCTGGAGCAGGTGACAGAGTCACCTTCACCCGTTCCTACCCCGTCGCCAACACCACTGGAAGGTACTGTACAGCAGCTTCTGAGGAAGAGCTAATGCTTCTGCAGATTAATTGGCTTGAAAGAAGATTGGCAGGATGCAGTTTATTCATTCAGCTGAGGCTGGAAGGACCTGCTTGAGCACATGACATCTCTGAGCACAGGAGATGTTTCTAACAAACAGAAAACTTGAGATACCAAAACATGGTTGTGGGAAACAAGAGCAGAGTTGAAGAGAAAGGAGAAAAAAAGAAAAAGAAAAAAAAAAGAGGCATTTGTTTTGAGAGTGTCTGTTGTGAGTCTGGTCTTTTATCACACTTAAATAACTGCTGAATGGAAGGGGCAGGCATGTGTGTGCGTTGCATGTAACACAGACGTTCAGTGAACAGTGTTTTTGTGTCATCTTTTGCAGATTGCAGTCCCAGGAACGTCACTTCACCAGGAAGGCTGGTATGACACCTTCTGCTTGCTCTTGTTCTCTCTGTAAGCTTGGGATTTGTCCGTTACTCACCTTGGGTGTGGATCGTGCATCTGGGCTACGAGGTCCCTATTTAAATACTCAGCCTGAGGCAGAGTTGTGAAGAGGGCAGTGTGGCTGGAGCTCTGCCATGCCCTTTGCTAGAGACATCCCCTTTGTACAAATAGGCAGCAATGTCTGTTTTCCCCTTCTCTGTTTTATTCTCTTCTCAGTAACGTGAAACCAAAAACTTGAGCTGAAATCAGCATCTTACTTTTTCTAAGTGCTGTATAAATACAGCAGGACGTCGTTGCAGAGAACTGTCAAAATTGGTACAACAGAATGCGGGACCTGGTTCTGCCCAAAGTCACACACCAGCTCTGAATTCAGTGCCAGCTGTGCTGGAGCTGTCAGGAATCTTGCTGCTGATTTTTTTCCATACAGAGAGGGTTCTTAGCTAAGCTAGTGCAGATGTGCAGCTCACTGGAGCACGTCGTGTTTTCCATGCAGCTTGGAGCACCTACCCTGAGAGCAGGACAGACAAAATGCAGAGTCCCAGTGTCCCTGAGATGCCTTCTTTCCCAGAGGCTGGATCCAGACACCGTTGACACTAACTGTGAATGATGCTTTGCTGCTAACTCTCCGTAGATCACTCAGGGTGCTGTTGTGTGTCCATCCACTCCTCTCTCCTCACTCTCTCTTTTCTCTCTCTTCTCATTTACTGTCCCTTCTAGTCCATGTCTGAAAAGAAGTTTGACTACCGGGAATTTGCTGCTATTCCTTCCTCCAAACCTGTTTACGAAATCCAGGTATTCACTGCATGCTGAATTTCTGCCTGCTGTCGGATCGGTCAGGGCTTGATTTAGTGGAAGTGCTGCATATGATGTGACGACCCTCAGAGCAGAGGCTGAATGGCGTGAGGAAGAGCTCTTCAGGGTGCCCCCCACGTATGGGGCAATGACAGCTGGCCATGCTGTACTGAGGAGCCACTGGAGGCGTCAGTCAGGTGTTAAGAAGTTGGTCCAGATGGTTTTAAAAGCGAGGGCAAAGCCTTTGCAAATACAAAGCAATCACATTTTCACCTTAACTGATCCTGAAATATTTTCAAGCGAAAGATGAGAACTGAAAGGGAAGGAGAAAAGGTTGCCAACTAATTGCAAATGGGAGCTGGTGTTAACTTCAGGGCGGAATTATCCGGCAGCCTGCCCCAGAAGCAGCTGTGCTGCCAGCTTTCTAAGTTGTAGCTCTGCTGTAGATGTTAGGATAATCATGAAGTAAAAAGTTCATATGGCATTATTAAAATGAATACTGAGCTCTACTGAAACATTTGCGTAGTTCTGAAGGGCTAAGCTTAGGGTGTTAAGTACAAATTTGGATTAATAGATGAACAAATGCAGAGCGCTTTGACTTCTCTGTCCTTGAAGCACTGTGTGCAGACAGACTAAATTTTCTGTAAGAGCAAAATAAATAGGGCTTGGGACATTGATACCAGTCCCCAAGTTTTTCATCCTGTGCGGATGAGCAAGGAACTCCTGGATGAACAGAAAGAAAATAAGAAAGTCCATATTTCCACATTTGTGGAAAAAGGTCCTGCCCACCTGGGAAGACTACAGGAATGTTGTCAGGGCCTCTGTGGATGCAGTGAGAAAGGCAAAGACCTTCTGGGAATTAAACCTTGCAAAGGAGGTAAAGGACAACAAAATAAGAGGTTTTTTAAAGTATGTCAACAGTAAAAGGAAGACTGGGGAAAACGTGGGTCCCCTACTGAATGAAGTGGGTGCCTTGGTAACAGGGGGTGCTGAGAAGGCAGAGATTCTGAATGCCTGCTTTGCTTCGGTGCGTAATGCTAAGTCTAACCCTTGGGAATCCCAAACCCTGGAGGTAAGAGAGAGTGTCTGGGGAAAGGAAGGCTTTCCGTTGGTTGAGGTGGGTCTGGTTAGGGAGCACGTAGCCAAAATCAACGCACGCATCCACGGGCCCCAACGGGATGCACCCACGTGTGCTGAGAGAACTGGCAGCGATGATTGCTGAACTGCTCTCTGGTTGGATGCCTGTGTTCCCCAAGGTTCGGTGCTGGGTCTAGTCTTGTTCAACGTCGTCATTGATGACCTGGATGAAGGGATGGAGTCCACCCTCAGTGTGTTTGCTGATGATGCAAAGCTGGGAGGAGTGGCTGAACACGCCTGAAGGCTGTGCTACCATTCCACCAGACCTCGACTGGAGAGTTGAGCAGGGATGAACCTGATGAGGTTTCACAAGAGCAAATGTTGAGTCTTGCACCTGGGAAGGAATAACTGCAGGTATCAGTAGAGGTTGGGACGTGAGCTGCTGGAGGGGAGCTCTGCAGAGAAGGACCTGGGGGTCCTGGTGGACGACAGGTCGGCCATGAGCCAGCAGTGTGCCCTGCTGGACAAGAGGGCCAATGGCATCCTGGGGTGCATTAAAAAGAGTGTGGACAGCTGGTTGAGGGAGATGTTCCTCCCCCTTTACTCTGCCCTGGTGAGGCCACATTTAGAACCCTGTACCCAGCCCTGGGCTCCCCAGTTCCAAAAAGACAGGGATCTCCTAGATGGAGCCCAGCAGAGGGGCACGGAGATGATAAAGGGCCTGGAGCATCTCCTGCGTGAGGAAAGGCCGAGTAACCTGGGACTGTTCAGCTGGGGAAAAGAAGACTGAGAGGGCTTATAAATTTCTACAGGGGGGTGGGAGGCAGGTGGATGAGGCCAGGCCCTTCTCAGTGGTGTGTAGCAATAGGACAAGGAGTGACAGCCTAATAGCTGGACACAGGCAGTTCTGTGCTAACACATGGAAGAACTTTTTTGCAGTAAGGGTGATGGAGTGCTGCCCAGAGAAGTTGGGTCTCCACCATGGAGATATTCAAGACCCAACTGGACGCCCACCTGTGCGACCTGTCGTACGGAACTGCTTGGGCAGGGGGATTGGATTCAGTGATCTCTTGAGATCCTTTCCTACCCCTTTGATTCTGTGATTGAGTGCTGACTTTCAGACCATCTCAAGTTTTGGCCCGTGACCAAAGTCATGGTTCTTACATGGTGGCGTTGCTCTGATCTGCTGAACTACCTGTGGTTGGTTGCTAGAGTCATCCTCCTTCCATGAAGGCTGTAAGGTTAACCTTGCAAGAGGGGGTCAAGGACAACAGAAAGGGCTTCATCAAATACACTGCAGATAAAACTAACACTGGAGGCAGCGTAGGCCCACTGATGCTTGAGGCGGGTGCCCTGGTGGCAGAAGTTGTGGGGTGTCCAGGAGCCGTGGAGATGTGGCTCCTGTGGACGTGGTTAGTGGGCATGGTGGGGATGGGTTGGGTTGGGCTTGGTGATCTATTAGGCTTCTTCCAACCTTAATGCTTCTATGATTCCTTATGTAATTAAATGAAGAAAAAAATCCCACTGATTTTGCCTAAGAAGCCAGGCCTGAGAGCAGCGCAGGTGCAGAGCTGGGTCCAGGACGCTCAAGGAAGCATCACTGTCCTGTGTCGTCGGTCCCCTCCCATATTTCTGCTCCTTTTTAACAGCCTTCCTGCTTTTTGCCTTTCCTGTCACTTACTGTCCCCTCCTCTCTCCCCAGACGAATAATAAGAGAGCTGTGGTGGGCAGACACAGCTCTCACCTCACAGTTCAGACAACGGGCTGCTTGATTGCAGCAGAAAGCCTGAATGTGAGGGCCGTGCCCTGGCTGCTGCACCACCAGAGCCTTTGAGGCAAAAGGTGTTCTTGCAGTTTGTCGTAGGCTTGAGAGGGAAATTACCTGGCGCTGGTGTTACAGAGGTAAATGCTCATGTCTTCTTCTTTCCAGTCTCCTGATGCAGCTGATGACCTCAGATATGTTGAGGACAGAAATAACTCAGGTAAGCCAGTGGCAAAAGGAGACTTTCCTGTACCACTTACATCCCATCCGTTTCTAGAGTGTTCTTCTTGACCTGCTTGTGGAGTCAACCCTGAGGTCCTCACCTTCTTGCTACCTGAAGCATTATCCTTTTTTTTGTCCATTCTAGAATGAAACCTTGAGATTCGCCACATTCAGTTTTGGGTAGGATATTTGCATTGTGGTTATTAATGGCTGATTTGCTGAGAACTGTTTGTTACGAGCATGCCTAACCTCGTGCTGTGCTCTTGAGTGAAGAGGGGTGGTAGAATGCGGGTGGGAAGTCCTGGCCTTTGGCAGCTGCTCCAAGGGGACAGCATCCATATTAGGGGTGCTTTGTGCCCCTTCTGCTGGAACAGGCGCTGCCAGCAGCAGGCAGTGCAGGAGGTCATCCTGGTTTGGCACTGGATGGAGCTTGGTGAGTGACTCCCCAGGTCTAAGCTTGTGGAGCTGTGTGCACCGTCACCTAAACGAGCACTAATTGAAGCTTTGACTTCTGTATCTCTTCATACTGTGCTAGCTGCAGTATGTCCTTGTGTTCCCAACCTTAAAGGACAGCTCAGACCATGTCCTGCTTCATTCCAGGTGCTGTAGTGGAGCACAGCAGGGCATGCCTTCTCCTTAACAGTGCTTTTCTTTCATTCAGCAGTTGATGCTGGCTTTCTTCTGCCTCCTCTGCAGCTATTTATTTTTCTTTTCTTTTACACAGCTCAGCTGTCAGTTTTATCTTGGCAAATCACTCTTAGTAAAGGCTCCACTCCAGATGGCTGATCCATACACAGGACATTGGCACTGGGGATTCTACTGCAGAGATGCTCAAATGAAATGTACTGAGAACAGCTTCTGTTTGCTGTAGTGCAAACCTCTGAAATGAAAATGCTGGGTTTTTCATTTGAGGTGGTCCATTCTCAACTCAATTGTTCTCCCATCTTTTCTGATATCTTACAATCAAAAGTGGAATTGCATTGCTAAGAAGTGTGCTCAGATCTTCAGAAAGCTCCTTCCAGTGCCTGCAGAATCAATTCAGAGCTACACACCATCTATATTGAACCCGAGCTTCAAACAAAAGCATAAAAGCAGATGCACGACGTCAGCACAAGGCTTGGGATGATTTGGTAATGAGCTGCTTGGAGTGCTAAGGAAAAGCATAGAAGAAAGGAGCATCAAGCGATTCCTTCCAGAGTACTGCTCCAAACTTACAACCTTTTTGGTTTTGTATTTTATAAACCAGAGGCTTTCGTTTCAGAGTTGTTCACTTTCTTGAATCCGTATTCACACCTGCAGTTACTTCCACCTTCCACGTTGTTTCCCAGCCATCTCTATAACATCCTGATGCCCTTTTTGGAGTGGAGTTCCATTTGACTGCCCCAATGTGCAGTAATCTGCAGTGTCTCTCAATGCAGTCATCATCACCTGTTATTTCTCTTTAGTTTCCAAACACAGAGCCAGCTACAGACAACTGCTTTGTTTTGTGTCATTTCTTCCTGCGATTTTCCTCTGCTTTAACTACTTACTTACACACTAAAGGATGTGTCTTTTGTCCCATAGCAGTTTATTTTCATTAAGAGCTTTGAGAACAGTTCAAAAGTTTTTTGAAGGATGCAGTATGCTGTGGTGAGACCGTATTTATTTCCATGTTTGATGGCTCCTTTGGCAAATTCCACTGGGTCTAAGAGCAGCGACCTCCCTCCAAGCACTTTGAGTCCTCCACCCCTTTTGAACGTCTCTCTACTTGTCTGCCAGTGCCTTTGTTTTATTCCAGTTTGTTTTGCTTGAAAGTGAGCTCCCTGCTTGTCAGTCCCAGCATCCTTCCAAGACGTCGCATTGGTTACCTGTGTTCTCTTGATTCTGCGTCCTTTTCAAACCACAGGTTGATGCTACATAGAAGTTCAGGAAGGGTTCTGGGTCACAGCAAGCTTCTACCTGCTGACTGTAAGAAAGAGGGCATTGCTGTGAGCGTGGCTGTAGAGCAGAGGGTGGGCCATTAAGTACAGATCAGCAGCTTTGACTGCACCTCTGCTCTGACAGATTGCTGTATTTGAGGTTCTCTGCTGAATTCAGAGACTTCAGAGAAGCTTCTCAGGAACTCGAACGAAAACTTCTGTGGCTTCATGAAGCTTTTTTCTTTTTACAAAAGTCATTTTTACATGGAAGTCGTTCAAGCCACATTATCACAAAGGGTGGATTTTCTGGGGTACGTAAAAGTACAGCGTAGCTCAGGTGCAAATCTCAGACCACGTTAACTGAGGGTCAGCCCTGCCACAGTGGCTCTGTGGTGAGGCCCTTGGGTGGAAGACCCAAGATGCAGTCTACAGAAAGGACTTCACTCATCCAGCTTCAGCATTAAGCAAAACCAAAAGGCTCACCTCTCTCAGTCCCATGTGATGCTCATGGTGCTCCTCAGTGCCCAGTGCTCCGTTGGAACTACTGCAGCGCTTCGAGCACCAGCGCGCACCTCAGTGCCTTCTGGGCATTGATTATTCCTGCACTTTGGCACTTCCATACCATTTTCAGTGAGTCCTGGGTGTTGGGGAAGATGTCTGCTGAGGAGTGCCACTTCCTTCCCAGAAACTAATAGCACTTCAGGTACATAGCACCTAAAGGTTCTGGGCACGGCATTGCTGTGATTTACGTCTCAGCATGCAGGGCACCATCGTGTCATCGTTAACCATCTCAGTGCTTAAATCGAGCGCCTCCTCCTAAATCTGTTACTTCTCTTATCTACGCAGTTCCTCAGGAGCAAGACGGACAGCCAGAGGAGGAGGAAATGCTATTAACACGTGATTCATCAACGCCAACCGCATCTGCACTTGAAGAGATGGCTCTGTACAGCAGCAAACGCAAACTGCGGCACAGCCGGCGCAGCCTGGAGGCCGCCGTCCCGACGTAGGCAATCCAAAGCTCCTGGGCTTTGGGACGGCCCGACACGGGGCTCCTGAACTTCCCGTGCTCCAGGAGCGGCACCAGACTGCCCATAGCGCTGCCTCCTGGGCTCCGGGGGGAACTGAGCACCCCAGGAGCGTTGCGGTCAACCGACTTCCTTAAGGCTGTGAACCGCCCTATTTTCTCACCCGGTAGAGCACTGGGGCACGTCCTGACCCCACGTGGGATGGCACGAGACTGATGGATGGTAACCAAGAGGAAGCGTGGGTAGGACAGTGGGCAGCTGCAGTTTGTTAGCCTGTAAATATTGGGGGGGAGGGCGGGGACGGTAGGACAGGGAGAACATAGAGTGTGAGTGTGTTGGGCTCCAGCTGTTATTTCCTCGACTTGGGTCTTTTGTTTAATGGTTAATATGAGAGCTTCTACTCTGGTCTGAATGAGAAGGAAGTTCCAGCCTTCACTCCTATTTAATTTCCAGTCTTTTGCCAAGAAGCATCTTCTTCCACCCTCCCACGCTGTCACCTCACTTTCTTTTGGGAGCGTGTGGAAGCTTGGAGGCAAAAAAGAAAAAGAAGAACAAAAAAGGAATTGTAGTGAAGTGCCTCCCTCTAACACTGACACCTGTGCGCTCAAAAGAAGACTGAATGAGCCGGAGCCTGTGCCAGCTCCAGGAAGCATCAGCTCCATTCCATTGCCTCTGTGAGCGCAGCACCTGTCCCATGCAGGGAGCTGCTCCTGCCTGCAGTGCTGTACTGTTTTGGGAGGCAGGAATCTACCCCACATACACACTGTGTGCACGTAGCGTGTACCACTGTGCACGGTGCTGGGTGTCAGACAGGTGTCTGTCTGCTGTCCACATCACAGCTGAACGGGTGCGCCGGGGCAGAAATGAGAAAGGAGTTGAAAAGCTGTAGAAGGAACAGTAGCAGTGTGAGTGCATGGCAGCAATAGCAAGCAGAATAGCGAGGGGTTAGGAATACGGCGGCAGAGGTAGGAGGTGTAAACAGCAAATAAGGTAGGGGTTAGGATTCAGGGAACGGGGAAGGGTAGGAAGTGGCATTGCTGGGTCAGGGTAGGACTAACGGGGTCTTACAGGTAGGGTACCGGTGGGTGAGTCCCACTGGCTGTGAGATGATAGGTGATGTTGTGAGGGTGCCTGCGGGGTCTGAAGGAGTGACTGCCTGCCAGGCAGGGAGCACAGCGGGTGGGATGGATCTGGGAAGAACCTGCAGTAAGCGCACGGTGCTGCTGTGTGCCTGCGTGTCGGCTTCAGGCCGCTGTCTGCATAGGGCAGGGCAAACACGTGCTTGTCCAAGCAAGAGGAAAAAAGAAAAATGGAAAAGGGACTTGGGTGTGATTCCTGGTTGCCGCACATGGAACAGTGGCCGTGGACAGTTTGCATCCAGTGTGCTCTACAGACATGGAGGAGGCTGATGCTGCTCACGGCTCTGAAATCAGTCTCTGCTGTTCTACTGCCCACTACTGAAATAAAACATCCCTGTTCCTTTTTTTTTTTTTTTTTTTTTTTTAATGGATTTTGTTTGGTTTGTTTTCGTTGGGTTTTCTTTTGTTAAAGCCTCCAATACAGAGAAAGGCGTCAGAGTTCAGCAGTCATTGATCTGTCCATCCAGATCCATTGGTGCTCTCTGCTGAACTCCAGCAGTAAGGCCAGGGCTGAACCTTACCTGGGACGTGGCTTGGGAGCAGCAGGCACGTCTGCTTATGCATTTGCTGAGTGACTGGATGCATTTTTTTTATGGTCGAGCATCTCCCTTCATGCCAAACTCATTTGTACTGACTCCACGTGGTTTAATTTGGTAGGGCTCTGAAGGGGGAACTCGGAATAACAAGCTGCAGCTACGGCTGCTTCCATCATCAGCAATTGGAGCTTTTCCTTTTTTAAAGTCTAATTTTAGCCTATGCTTTTTAACAAGAGCAGTTTTGGAAGCGATCTCGGATTTGTTTTGGTGACTAACGTGATTCTTTCTTCTTTCCCTTTTTGGTACCCGCTGCCAGGCTCTGGGTTCTCTCCCCTTCTCTCCTGAGAGACTCTGAGGGAAAATTAATTAGTGCATCAAGACTGTAACTAGTGACATTTGTACAACCAAAGAAATCTATTTTGTGGTTCAAGGATAATAAAGTTTACTTTACATTTTAGAACCTTGAGTTATTCCTTCTGCCCGGTGTGAAGCCTGCAATTCCTGAACTTTGGTTCTCGTTGTTAACGAAGCCGTAACCCAGCGAACATATCAGCCATTTTCCTGCTTCTGTGGGCTGAAAGGAGATGAAGTTTAGGAGATGCTGGCGTATTGGGAACCAGTAGGGAAGCAGACATCTGTGAAATGCCTGCAAGGTGTGGTGTGGCGTATTGGGGTGCGTTCATCTAAAACGTGACGTGGCCAATGGCCCAGTTGGTGTGGCTCAATACCAGTGCGATCAGGAAGAGCTGGAAGCCACTGCGCAGCTAAAAAGCTACAAAGCAGTTGCTATCAATGAAACTTGATGAAACAAACAACACGACGGGATGCTGCAGTTAATGGCTTTAAACTTCGGAGGGAACTGGAGGTCAGGATGGGGAGGAGAGGTGCTTGAGGACCTGGGGGTGTTGGTTGATGCTGGGCTGAACAGGAGCCAGCAGTGTGCCCAGGTGGCCAGGAAGGGCAAGGGCAGCCTGGCCTGCATCAGAAATGGCCAGCAGGAGCAGGGAGGGGAGCATCCATCCCCTGTGCTCAGCTCTGTGAGGCCGCACCTCGAGGGCTGGGTCCAGTTTTGGGCCCCTCGCTGCAAGAAAGACATGGAGGGCCTGGAACGCGTTCAAAGGAGGGCAATGAAATGGTGAGGGGTCTGGAGCACAGGGCTGTGAGGAGAGGCTGGAGGAGCTGGGAATGTTCAGGGTGAGAAGAGGAGCTGAGGGCAGAGCTCACTGCTCTCTATGGCTGCCTGAAGGCAGGTTGTGGTGCAGAAGGGTCTGGCCTCTTCTCCCAGGCAAACAGCAGGAGCCGAGGAAACGGCCCCAAGTTGTGCCAGAGGAGGTTTAGGATGGACATGAGGAGAAGCTGCTGCTCGCAGTGCTCAGAATCTGCAATGGCTGCACAGGGAGGTGGGGGAGGCGCCGTCCCTGGCGGCGTTCAAGAGGCGCCTGGATGAGGAGCTGTGAGATGTGGTTTAGTGCTGCTGGTACTGATAGCAATGGGAGGGGGGTTGGACTGGATCATCTTGCAGCTCGTTTCCAACCTTGTGATGCTGTGATTCTGTGATTTTGTCCTGTCAGCTGCACCGCTTGGCTTGGTGTAACCTACAAACACGCTGCAGGTGCGCTCCATCCCACTGTCTGTGTCTCTGATAAAAACGCTGATATCCAGATACACAAACCCTACAAAGAAGAAATTTGAGAATTTCAAGATTTCTGAAAAAAAAAAAAAAAAAGTTTTTTTTTGTATATTTGCAGCTCCATTTTCAGGCACCAAAAACACATTACCTGCAGACTTTAAAATGGGGTATACGGAGTTGCAGACTCAAGGAAAAATCTGATCATGTCTCTATCCCAGATTCTTACAAGAATTGTCACTGCCAGAGAAAAAATATCCCTTGTTTCACCATCACACCTTCCTCCCGTCCCCGTTTTTTGGCAGGATGTACATTTGTGAACAACTGTTTTCAAGTATGAAGCACAGGAAGAGCAAAACTACCTGAGCACCTTGAGCATTCACTAATTGCAGCCACATTGATAGAACCAGATTGATGCATGAGTTTCACAAAAACAGGGTCAAATATCCACTAGGTCTATGTTTTTCTTGCCCTCTTTTTTATGTTTTAATTAAAAAAAAAAAGAGAGAGAGAGAGAAAAAAGAATTCATTATTCATTTACCTTAACTTTATTGCATATTTTATATGCAGCCCAAGAGAATTCCTCTTCACTCAGTGCAGCCCAAAGGTTGGACCCCCGTGGCCTGGAGGAAGGGACAACGATGGAGAAAGGGAGGGATTAATGTATATAGAACAAGAAATGGAAGAGAGAAAGGAGAGGGAACCAAAAGAGCTGGTTTCTTGTACAGAGGCTGTTTGTATCGTTCTCACTTACGTGGCTGCTGCCTGTGAGGATGTGGTATCTGGAGACGACAAAGCCCTTCTAAAAGGAGCAGTAATTGAAGAAAAGCAATGCAGTCAACAGCTGAAAAACTTATTATTTTTTTTTTTTTCTGAAAGATTTTCTATGCTGATCTTATATATAACGGCAGTCTTCCTACAGGACGTGAGAAATGTAAGCTAAAGAACTGTCAGGCTGACCTCCACCGACAGAAACTGAACTGCCACCTACTGAGCTCCCCCGCAGAGTCGTTCAGTGCATGGAATCCAGTTGAGGAAAGACACAGAACTTGTTCCTCATTCAAGAATGGAATACCTCCAACTTTAGACAAGGGTCAGAAGGGCCCTTTAAGTGCACGCAGTTCCAACCTGCTGTAGGCTTGCCCAGCCCCCACGGCCCCGTCCAGCCTGGCCTCCAGTGCTTGCAGGGCAGGGGGGGCATCCACAGCTTCACCCTGCAACCCGTTCCAGTGCCTCACCACCCTCACAGTAAAGCATTTCTTTCTAACATCTACTCCAAATCTCCCCTCTTCCAGTTTAAAGCCATTTCTCCTCACCCCGTCACTACGTGCCATTATAAAAGTCCCCTCCTTGGCCCCTTTGTTTGCTCCTTCCAACGTCTCTCAGAGAATGACAGCACAAAAGTGTGTTCAAAAAGACGGGAGTTGGGAAACCTGCAAAATCTCACACCAGGAGTTGGGAAATCAGAGTAAAATCTCAGACACAAATTAGAATAGTTTTTGGGTTTTTTTTTAAGTAAAAGTTAGGTTTTAAAGTATCTCAGTGTCATTTCCAGTCACATTCCTTCTGACGCTGTAATTTTGTTTCAAACATCCTCAACAAATGATGAAGTAATGCTTTGTGACGAGGCCTGCAAGGCTTTATTTGCATTTGCTGTTCTGATTCAGCAATTCCTTAATTTTAACTTTCTAACGATGCTAAATTAGGAACTAAAGCAGTAAACAAGGAGAAACAGAATCAAAGGAAGGGGGAAATGGGAAATGGGAGATTTGCAACTCAACATAATGGAAAAACAGTTCTGTGTTTCTGCCTTGAATGTGAAATATTCGCTCCGAGAACCAAAGAGATCTGAACTTATCCATCCTAAGGACAGGAGGCCTCAAGTGCAATAAATACTTCTAAGCTCTTTGCATTTATCAGGTCACACTTTCTATTAATTTATCTTAAAAAATGGTAGGACTTGTATCTACAAAGCTCTGGAATTTCTAATACTCAAATTCTAATTCTAGCGATTTAGTATAAATTAAGAAGGGGAATAAATAAAAGCAGGTGCACCAATGAGTCTGTGAGGAGGAACACGCAGTGGTGACGAGGCAGCGCTACGCTCCCTGCTGGGTAAGGCCTCCAGCCAAGCACGCAAGCAAAAGTTCATCATTGGAGTCACTGAGCATCACACAGCAACTGTATGGCACAGCAGAACAGGACAGAAGTGCGTGTGAGGCGTCACAAGTGGAGTTCATGATTTCAAAAGAAAATCAGGTGGTGATGAATAAGTAAATAAATAAATACTGCTATTCTGTGGCCAGGCAGTGCAATGGGCTGCCCAGGGAGGTGGTGGAGTCACCGACCCTGGGGATGTTCAAGGAACGTTTGGATTTGGTGTTGAGGGACGTGGTTTAGTGAGAACTGTTGGTGATGGGGGGATGGTTGGACTGGGTGATCTGGAAGGTCTGTTCAACCTTGGTGATTCTGTGATTCTGTGAATAATGTGACAATGAAGGCGGCAGGGAGACCTCAGTGTGGCCTTCCAGTACTTGGAAGGGAGGGGGAACGGCTGTTTATGGGGGTGGATGGTGATAGGACATGGGGGGAATGGTTTTAAACTGAGACAGGGGGGGTTTAGGTTGGATGTTAGGAGGAAGTTTTTCACTTCATGCACCACCCACCCTCACACACAGCCGTTCCCCTCCTGTTTCTCCGCTCCCTCCAAGCACTGAAGGCCACCATGAGGTCTCCTCGCAGCCTTCTCTTCTCCAAGCCAAACCAGCCCAGTTCCCTCAGCCTTTCCTCACAGGAGAGCTCCTCCAGCCCTCTGCTCATCTCAGTGGCCCCTGGCCATTTCCGTGATGCTCCTCCGGACTCATTTGAGTGCAGAGCAGAAGAGGCAGCACGTTTTCTTATCACTTTACAACCTGTGCATCTTCCCTGCGTGTCACAGCACTGCTTCGTGCAAATAAAATACACATTAGGAATTAAAACGCAACTTTTGCTCTGAAGCTGAGGGCTGCTAAAAGGAGCCCTGAGCTCTGGGCAGGGGACATTCCTCGGCCTTTTTCTGACCATTCCCGGCCAGGACCAGCGGCTGCTTTCTCTTCATCGCGTCCTGCTCGATATTCCGCCCCTCTGAAGCCGAACACCACGCCGTGCTGATTGCCCATCGGGTCGCTTGGTAAAGGCAGCCGATCCGGCAGCAGGGAGCTTCACTCCTCGTGCCGCGTCCCGTGTCTTTCCCCGAGAGAAAAGCGTGGTGGCAGCAGCTGAACGCCGGTCAGAACAGCCGGAGCCCCGGGCCGGTCCTCGCGTCAGCCCTGCTCGTCATCGTAACGTCGGCTCTCATCGCAGCCAGACTTCAGAAGTTCTTTACAGCGAGTGATTACCGTGGGGAGCCGCGAGGCAGTGAAGAGACTCCTGCAGGACCTGTCAGCAAAGAGAAGCCGCAGAGAAGGGAATCGATCCTTCGGTGCCGGGCGGCGTGCGCTGCATGCAGCACCGGGCTGCGGGGCGCCCGATGGCTGTCGCTGCTCCTTGATATGAACTGGGCCGAAAGCAGGAAAATCCAGGCAAACAGCTCCGGGGCAGATCGACGGAGGGGAGGAAGTTGTGTTTAACCAGGGTAAGTGAATCCATACAAATAAAATGTCTGCAACGGATCAAACCCAGGAGTGGCAGAAAGGATTCGTCGCTAAGCTGCGCTCAGCCTGCTCTTCCACTGCAGCAGAACAGGGGATCTGAAATGCCAGGGCAATGCCAGGGATGGAGGAAGACGTTCCAGGCTGGAACAGCTGCCCAGAGAGGCTGCAGATGCCCCATCCATCCTTGCAGGTGTTCAAGGCCAGGCTGGATGCAGCCCTGGGCAGCCTGGCTGGTATTAAATGTGGAGGTCGGTGGCAGGGGGTTGGAGCTTCATCATCCTTGGGGTCCCTTCCAACCCTGGCCTTTCTGTGCAGAATCACAACATCACCCAGGTTGGAAAAGACCTACAAGATCACCCAGTCCAATCACCCACCCACCACCAATCGTTCTCAATACACCATGTCCTCAGCACAACATCCAGACGTCCCTTGAACAGCAATGCCTTCTCAGTTACTGCCTGTCCACCCCTGCAGGCATTGGAGGCCAGGCTGGATGTGGCTCTGGGCAGCCTGGGCTGCTGGTTGTCGACCTGCACACAGCAGGGGTTGCAACCAGGTGAGCGCTGTGCTCCTGTGCAACCCAGGCCATGCTGGGGTTCTGTGATTCCATGATTTTCTTGCAGTCCATTGTGATTTCTAAAGCAGGAGGATGAATGTTGAGGCGCAGACACGCCGGAGGCAGGCGCTGATTTCCTGTGGTGCATTTTGGCAGGGCTGGTCTATGTGTAATGCCAACAAAAGCCACGAATTGGATGGGAGCAACGCAGCCCTGGACGCGCGCTGCCACCTCGAGCTCCTGCCCCTTCTGGCCAGTTGTGCCACCAAACTGCTTTGCAGGGTCATCATAGGAACGGCTAAGGAAACAATTCCAAATGTGAAGGCATTTAAAAGGAAAATGTTATCTGCCGAGGCTGGAGGTGCAGTGTGAGGGAGATGGGTGTGAATGTGAGGAAGAAATGGGCCAGTTAAAACCAGGATGCAATGCAGGACACAGGAACACAGAGCATCTTTATTGTGCAGCACCCAAGGAAAGGCAGTGGCATTTTCTGTGAGCAGCTGGACAACAACGTGCTGTATGCAGTTGGATGTGCAGGAAAATATAACTTATCCATTCTGTAGTCATGTCTTTATTTTTATTGGCACAGACGGTGAGATGGAAACGTGGATCTCAACCAAGGAGACCAAAACGTGCACACCAGAGCTAACAGGAGAAAAAAACATTATACTGAGTCAGCAGGCAAATCTCATCCAAGTCCTACCTTAAGAATGGAAAAGAGCTGATTACTGAGCCCTGCCGTACCTGAATGCTTTCTTTCGAGCCCCAGACCACTTTAATCACAAGGTGCACACAGCAGTTCCATTGCAGTGCACCCCTCAGTCAGCCACCTCCATCGCCGACTGCACACAGCGGTGCTGAGCGGCCAGCTGGAAATGCAGCTCCAGACAACATTAGGACAGGGAGCAAAGGGCAAACGAAAGCAGAGCCCTTCTTCTCAGCTGGGTTTGTTGTTGCTGCCATAGAATCTTAGAATGGCCTGGGTTGAAAACGATTCCAATGCTCACGGAGTTCCAACCCCCTGCTGTGTGCAGGGTCACCAATCACCAGACCAGGCTGCCCATAGAGCTCATAGGGTGCCACAGGGATCCACAGGGTGCCACAGGAATCCATAGACCATGCTAAGGATGCATAGGTTCCCTTAAGGCAACCTGTGGATCCATAGGTCACCTCTGAGTGCCACCACAGGGATCCATTGAATGCTATAAGGATCCATAGGGATGCCATAGGAACCCATAGAATCACAGAATCCCAGCATGGCCTGGGTTGCAAAGGCCTGCAATGCTCACCTGGTTGCAACCCCTGCTGTGTGCAGGTCGCCAACCAGCAGCCCAGGCTGCCCAGAGCCACATCCAGCCTGGCCTCCAATGCCTGCAGGGATGGGGCATCCACAGCCTCCTTGGGCAACCTGTGCCACTGCCTCACCGCCCTCTGGCTCAAAATCTTCCTCCTCACATCCAACCCAAACCTCCCTTGTCTCACTTTCAAGCCATTCCCCTTGTCCTGTCACCACCCACCCTCACACACAGCCGTTCCCCTCCTGTTTCTCTGCTCCCTCCAAGCACTGAAGGCCACCATGAGGTCTCCCCTCAGCCTTCTCTTCTCCAAGCCCAACCAGCCCAGTTCCCTCAGCCTTTCCTCACAGCAGAGCTGCTCCAGCCCTCTGCTATGTCCAGCTCCTCACCCACCAGGACCCCCAGTCCTTCTCCGCAGGGCTGCTCTCCAGGAGCTCTTCCCCCACTCTGTATCAACACCTGGGATCGCCCCGACCCGATGCAGCACCCTGCGCTCGGCCCTGTTGGACCTCACTGGCTTCACCAGGGCCAACTTCCCACCCTGTGCAGGTCCCTCTGGATGCTCCTTTCATTCTTCTGCAGCACTGAAATCCCACAGCTGTGGCAGCTGCAGCCACCTGAACCGAGGGTTGCTCCTCTCTGACTCCTTGGTTGATCCCCCGGCGGCATCGTGTCATTAACTGGGATTATCAGCAATCTGGGGCAGCAAACGTTTCCCTCCTGTTGGCTCTTTGTTCAAAGGCAGTTATAGCATAGCAGAGCCCAGCTGGAGACGTCAGTGGCAAACAGTCATTATCCAGAGGTATTACAGAAGGAAGCCGTGTGACATGATCTACATGCTAATTAGAAAAGCAAACCAAATGCACAAGCGGACGCATAAGCTGAGGTTTCCCTTAAAATAACCACTATTATCTTGGAAATAATAAGGAAAAAATAAACGCAATCAACTTGCAGAATAAAAAATACTCTGCTTGAAAAAACGTATTATTTCAAAGCTGATTATTACTAATTATTGCTTGGAAACACACAGGCAATGTCTTCACGCTGCAGTGTGACAACGAAGGATCCTTGCAGACCCTCAGAAGCGAGATCTCTGTGCTAGGAATCCTGCTGCTGTAATCAACCATTCTGGGTATTTTTCAGGGACAGGTGGGACAGCAGCTCAGGAAGGGCCAAACTCAATGAAGGCTGAAGGAGCCCTGAGGCGATGCTCGCAGGAGCAGGGTTTGAAGTGCAGGGAGTTGGACGTGATGGGCGCCTTCCAGCTGGGGATGGTCTGTGATCCGGTGCTATTTCAGCGTCACACAGGGACAAGCCCCAACCTCGTTAATAAAAGTTGCTTTTCTTACATCATCTTTGGTTCAACGCATCAATCCTGAGCCTCCAGACAAGGAGTGCTGCTCCCCACCCGCATTTCATGGCCGTATTTAGGATAGCTGGTTTGGCTCCCCAGCTTCCTCCGTGATCGGCGCAGCTCAGCTGCAGTTTATCTTTGTTACTGAAGGTCTGCATTGCAGCCCAGGCTGCGCTGACATTGCAATGCCTCCAAAACCCATCCCGTGCCATCGGGTGGCTTGCTCTGATGCAGAGCCCTGCGTGTGGTCACCAATGTTTGGTTAAATCAATTCTGCCCTAAACACGTGTGACAAACAAGCTGTATTACCCTCATTTGGACCTCAACAAGTGTTCCTGATAGATTATTCCAGATACCTGAAAGATGGATCATCCCAAAGGTATAAATAATCAAATCACCCTCTACATTCTGTTGCAGAATCAAAGCCATGATGGAATGCCTCGTCCAAGAATGCTGGCCTTCAGATAGCATCTTCCCTCCCTGCTGTCCATGCATAGGGCATTTTCTAGCACCCTGCAGCAGGAGGTGCAGAAATTGAAGACAGAGTGGCCAAATAAAACAAAATGAAGCTATACAGCAGTAGCCTGTTTGCAAATGCACTAAAGCCAGGCTTGGGCCTAGGGGAGTTTGCCCAAGGAGGCTGTGGATGCCCCATCCCTGCAGGCATTGGAGGCCAGGCTGGATGTGGCTCTGGGCAGCCTGGGCTGCTGGTTGGCGACCTGCACACAGCAGGGGTTGCAACCAGGTGAGCGCTGTGCTCCTGTGCAACCCAGGCCGTGCTGGGGTTCTGTGATTCTATGGGTTCCTATGGCACCCCATGCATCCTCAGGGCATCCCTATAAGTCCCTATGGTACTACTACTACTATGGTACTATCCCAATCATGCCCTGTGGATTCTTAGGACACCCTATGGATCCCTATGGCACCCAAAGGTGACCTATGGATCTGCAGGGTGTCTTAAGGGAACCGATGCATCCTTAGCACAGCCTATGGATCCCTATGGCACCCTATGGATCCCTATATCACCCTGCGGATCCCTGTGGCACCCTATGCATCCCTATGGCAGCCTGTGGGTTCTTACGACAACCTGTGGATCCCTATGGCACCCTATGGATCTCTATGGCATTCTGTAGATCCTCATGGCAGCCTCTGGATCCCTGTGGCACCCTGTGGGTTCTCTGGGCAGCCTGGGCTGCTGGTTGGCAACCTACACGCAGCAGAGGGTTGGAACCAGGTGAGCGCTGTGGGCCTTTGCAACCCAGACCATGTTGGGATTCTGTGACGATTCAATGATTCTATGATCTCAAGCTCAAGTGTGGCATTCCCTGCTCAGCCATGCAGAAGACCCTCAGAAGCAGAGAAAATGGCCACACCTTCAATGTGACACCGTAAAGCAAAGCCCATAACAACAATCGTGGTTTTATGCATAGAAAAAGTAAAAATGTAGACAAGCAAAGGTAAAAATCATAAGGCAGCAATTATTACATGTGAAGGAATAAAGCAAAAAGAAAGAGTTGCACACATCCTTCATTCTCAAAGCATGCTGGATTACAACTGGAGTGCCAATGAACACCGAGCTGGAGATAACTTCACTCAGGGAAAGAAACCTTTCCCCTCAGTTTCAGTTGTCTCTGCCACTGATGATAAGCTCAGATGACACAAAGCTTGCACACAGCCCTGCTGTCCTTTGGCACAGCCTGCCTACAGCAGGGCAGCACAGACAGCTCAGCTCAAAGGGGAAAACCAGACGGCCAAAGTATGACCCGAGAAAGAAAGTGGTTGGGTCAGGGTCGGTGCTTTGGAAAGCCAAAGGAGCACAGAACCATGGAGTCATAGAATGGTCTGGGTTGAAAAGGACCACAATGATCGCAGGGTTCCAATCCTTTGCTGTGTGCAGGGTCACCAACCAGCAGACCAGGCTGCCCAGAGAACACATAGGGTGCCATAGGGATCCAGAGGGTGCCATAAGGATCCACGGGGTGCCATAAGGATCCATAGGGTGCCACAAGGATCCACGGGGTGCCATAAGGATCCATAGGGTGCCATAGGGATCCATAGGGTGCCACAGGGATTCATACGGTACCACAGGGATCCATAGGGTGCCATAAGGATCAATAACGTGCTCTAAGGATCCATAGGATGCCATAAGGATCCTTAGGATGCCAAAGGGATCCATAGGGTGCCATAAGTATCCACATGGTGCCTTAGGGATCCTTAGGGTGCCATAAAGATCCATAGGGTGCCATTGGGATCCATAGGGTTCCTTCTCAAGCATTTTCTATCACTGCAGTCAGCACTGCACAGCTCTGCTCTCTTTGTGAGCCGTGATGGGCTGCAGGTTGCAATTTGAGTGGCTCTGCATGGCATTGTGTGTTTCCAAAGAGATCTTTTAAACAAAACAATTCTGTGATTTCCTTCTTAAGCGACACTCTCTGATAACAGCAACGACCAACAGCTTCTCCTGCTCTCATCTATTCAGTCCTTTCTCAGGGAATGGTGGAAGGTTGGACTGGATGATCTTGCAGGTCTTTTCCAACCTTGGTGATTCTATGACTCTGTGAGCCTATGATCACAGTTATCTGTGCTTTTGAACAGCTGCATTCAGCAATCAGGCTGTAAGGATTTTACAGAAAGCAGCAAAGCACTTCCTTAGCAATGTGTTTAACCACAAGAACTGATCAAGCACTCCGTGCACTGGCAAAGGCCTTCAGGGTATGCACACAGGAGACACACAGGATACACACCTACCTTGTGAGGTTCCAAACTGCCACAGATGGACTGAGAGCATCCCAGCAGCGCAGCAAGACTTCCTATGAGAGCAGTTTTGCTCATTTGCTTCAAAACACGTTCATTTGATCTTGCCTTCAGCAAAACAGCCAGCTGCACATTAAAAGCAAGAACAGAACATAAAAGCCCTATCAAAGGAAAATATTTTAGGCCACACACGATTCTACCCAAAAGAAGAGGAAAAGAAGAAGACAGAGCAGAGGGATCAGCACCACAACGATGTGCTGTTGGAATGCAGCCATTCTAAGAGCAGAAATCACTGAAAGATTAAGAAACTACAGATTTAAAATTGTTTCACCTCCATAGATCAGCACCCAGCTGCATTCCCCAAAGGTGCCAATCCGCAACGGAGCACTTGAAGTGAGGGGGTTGGAAATGGAATATTCCTGCTCCAGTTCCTGCCTGCAACATAGGGATAATCACCTCATCACATCCCAATTGAGTACTGAGGAGCTAATTGGTGTTTGTGAAGCATTCCAGCAGCGCAGTGATGAGCAGCGTGGCTCCACAGAGCTTAATGGCTCCATTGGTGCAATCTGAGTGGCAGGTGGTGAATAAAGCCCTGGGCCACGCAGGGAGGGACAATTAAAAGCAGCATTTATTCACTGGTGACAACTGCAGTTGCGCTCTCCTGTCTCGTAGCACCGAGTTAAATAAGTTCCTACAGAAGGATATCCCACAGGTATGTAACGTGTCTGTTCCATCGTGCCTATTTCCAGGCTCTCAGGGCACTGCCGCCCGTCTCCTCCATCACAGAATCATAGAATCACAGAATGGCCTGGGTTGAAAAGGACCAGAATGACCCTCTGCTATGTGCAGGGTCGCCAACCACCAGACCAGGCTGCTCAGAGAACCCATAGGGTGCCATAGCTGTGCCATAAGGATCCAGAAGGTGTCCAAAGAATCCACAGGGTGTGACTGGGATCCACAGGGTGACATCAGCATCCATAGCAATGCCATACGGATCCATAGGGTGCCCCAAGGATCCATAGGCTACACTAAGGATGCATAGGTTCCCTTGAGGCACCTTGCAGATCCATGGGTCACCTTTCGGTATCATAAGGTTCCATAGGCTGCCATGGAGATCCATAAGGTGTCCTAAGGGTCTACAGGGAGTCCTAAGAATCTACAGGGTGTGACTGGGATCCGCTAGGTGCCATAATAATCCATAGGAATGCCCTGAGAATGCACGGGGTGACATGGGGACCCATGGAATCATGAAATCATAAAATCCCAGCATGGCCTGGGTTGCACAGGAGCACAGCGCTCACCTGGTTGCAACCCCTGCTGTGTGCAGGTCGCCAACCAGCAGCCCAGGCTGCCCAGAGCCACATCCAGCCTGGCCTCCAATGCCTGCAGGGATGGGGCATCCACAGCCTCCTTGGGCAACCTGTGCCACTGCCTCACCGCCCTCTGGGGGAAAAACTTCCTCCTTCTCATATCCAACCTAAACCTCCTCTGTCTCAGTTTCAAACCATTCCCCCTTATCCTATCGCTTGGACTCGATGATCTTGAAGGTCTTTTCCAACCTGAGCAATTCTATGACACTGTGAGGCAGGCAGTTCAGGTGTGAGGTGGAAATGACTCACAGCAATGCCCAGAGCTGTGTCTGCCTCATCCTCTGGGCTGCCCTGTGCCAGGGTTGGGCTCTGCGCAGCCTCAGCTGTGTTCAACCATGTTCTGGGCTGCATTGAAAAAGGGGCGGCCAGCAGGGACAGGGAGGTGATCGTCCCCATCTGTTGGCTCTTGTGATGCCCCATCTGCAGCACTGCATCCAGGCCTGGGGCCCCCAGCACAGGAAGGATGTGGAGCTCTTGGAGAGGGTCCAGAGGAGGGCACTGAGATGAGCAGAGGGCTGGAGCAGCTCTGCTGTGAGAAAGGCTGAGGGAACTGGGCTGGTTTGGCTTGGAGAAGAGAAGGCTGCGGGGAGACCTCATGGTGGCCTTCAGTGCTTGGAGGGAGCGGAGAAACAGGAGGGGAACGGCTGTGTGTGAGGGTGGGTGGTGACAGGACAAGGGGAATGGCTTTAAAGTGAGACAGGGGAGGTTTGGGTTGGATGTGAGGAGGAAGTTTTTGAGCCAGAGGGCGGTGAGGCAGTGGCACAGGTTGCCCAAGGAGGCTGTGGATGCCCCATCCCTGCAGGCATTGGAGGCCAGGCTGGATGTGGCTCTGGGCAGCCTGGGCTGCTGGTTGGCGACCTGCACACAGCAGGGGTTGCAACCAGGTGAGCGCTGTGCTCCTGTGCAACCCAGGCCATGCTGGGGTCCTGTGATCCTATGGGTCTCTATTTGTCCCTATGGGTCCCTATATGGGATCTATGGGTCTCTATGGGATCTATGTGTCCCTATGGGTCGCTATGGGGGACCTCTGTGTCTCTATGTGGTATCTATGGGTCTCTATGGGGATCTATGGGTCTCTATGTGGGATCAATGGGGATTGATGTGTCTCTATGTGGTATCTATGGGTCTCTATGGGGATCTATGTGTCCCTATGGGGGACCTATATGTCCCTGTGTGGCATCTATGGGTGTCTGTGGGGATCTATGTGTCCCTGTGTGGGATCTATGGGTCCCTATGGGTCTCTATGGGTCTCTACGGATCCCTATGTGTCCCTATGGGAATCTATGTGTCCCTATGTGGGATCCATGTGTCCCTATGATGATCTGTGTGTCCCTATGAGGATCTATGTGTCCCTTTGGGGATCTATGTGTCCCTATGCGTCTCTTGGTGACCCTGAACACGGCAGGGGGTTGGAACCAGACGACCGCCGCGATCCTCCCCAACCCAGGCCGTTCTATGATCCCCACCCCCTCCGCCCTGCTGGAAGCGCCCGCCCGGCTCCGCCTCTTCCCCCCCCCCCCCCCCAACTCCTCACTCCCTAAAATGGCGGCCGCGCCCCCCGCCCCGCCCGAACCGGGCCGCCCGCCCTGAGTCAGCGCCGAGCCGCCTCGCCTTCCCCGCAGCCCGGGCACCGCCCGGCACACGGCGGCCGCGGAGTTTGCCAAGTGGAATAAGATAGAACATGAAAGGCGAAATAACAGGAGCTGCCACGCCCGGGGCTGCGGGGAATCTCGCTTAACCCTTTTTCTGCCCTGCCCCGAGCCGGCTGGGGGGCGGGGTGTCCCGGCTTCGCGTTATCTTTGAGGGCATCGCCGTGTAGGCAGGGGCGCGTTTGTAAGGAGCTGCGGAGCCTTTGGGGGATACGTGAGCCCCCATCGGCAACACTGCGTTCAGGGCTGGAGCCCAGCACAAGAAAGACAGGGAGCTGTGGGAAAGGGTCCAGAGGAGCCGCAAAGGGGATCAGGGGCTGCAGCACCTCCACTGCAAAGACAGGCTGAGGGAGCTGGGCTCGTTCAGCATGGAGGAGAGAAGCTGCGGGGTGACCTCAGTGCAGCCTGCAGTGCCTGAAGGGAGCCTGCAGACAGGAGGGGAGTCAGCTGTTGGGAAGGGGAGATGGCAGCAGGACGAGGGGAATGGTTTGAAGCTGAGGGAGGGCAGCTGGAGGTTGGATGTCAGGGGAAGTTCTGTGCTGTGAGAGCGGTGAGGGGCTGAACAGCTGCCCAGAGAGGCTGTGATGCCCCGTCCATCCCTGGAGGTGTTCAAGGCCAGGTTGGATGGGGCCCTGGGCAGCCTGGGCTGCTGTGAAACGGGGAGGTTGGTGGCCCTGCTGTGGTGGGGGTTGGAGCTTCATCATCCTTGGGGTCCCTTCCAACCCAACCGTTCTGTGATTCCGTGATACGGAGCTGTGGGTAAGGCTGCTCTGCTGAGGGGGGCCTAAGAGCCAGCCCTGCTTTGTGGTGCTGCTCCTGCATCAGCCCTGCTGCTCTGCATGTTTATAAGGAATTATGGAGCCTTTGGGGGCAGTGCTGGAGATATGAGGGGCTGTGGCTGTGGGTGAGGCACTGGGGATGTGGGATGTGGGGCTGTGGGTGAGGCACTGGGGATATGGGATATGGGGCTGTGGGTGAGGCACTGGGGATGTGGGATATGGGGCTGTGGCTGTGGTAAGGCCTGGGATGCACAGCACTCTGCTGAGGGAGGCCTAGGAGCCGGCCCTGCTCTGTGGAGCTGCTCCTGCATCGGCGCGGCCGCACCGCACACCGAAGTCCTTCCAGCCCGGACCCGGAGCGCGGCGAGGCCCTGCTGAGCCCACGCCCGCCGTCCGAGCGCGGTGCCGGCCTGCGCCGTGCCCGGGCCCGGCCCTGGTTCCCCGCAATGGTTCCCGGGCCCGCTCCCGGTGCCAGGCCTGAGCTGGTCCGACAGGCTCGGGGCAGACGGAAGGGAGAGGCCGCCCGCGGCTCAGGAATGCGCAGCCCTTATCTCTGGCTCCCCTGCAATCCCGGGGAGGGAACAACTCTCCGGAGTTTGCCTTTCTCTCGCTCTTACTCACCCTCTGCCCTGGGTGGAGCTTGATCCTGCGGGCTCGGAGGTGCCCGTGAATCAGGCTGCAGGCACGTCCAGGGCGGCGGAGCCAGCTGAGAGCGCGACCCGCCACCTGCCCGGCACACCTGGGAAGGTAGGAGAAGTTCGGAGCTCCTGGGGTACCCGAAGCGGTGGGCAGGAGCTGGGGAGGCCGTTTCTGCTCCTCTGCTCTGGGCTGGGTGCTCAGAGTTTGCGGCAGGGCTTTTGTGCGGGTGGGAGGTGGGTGGGCTCAGGGGCAACGTGTTGTGAGTATGCAGGGGGACGAGGAGAGTCCGAGGAGATCGTAGAATCATTGACTGGCCTGGGTTGAAAAGGACCACCATGATCATTGAGTTCCGACCCCATGCTGTGTGCAGGGCTGCCAACCACCAGACCGGGCTGCCTGGAGAACCCATAGGGTGCCATAGGAATCCATAGGGAGCCTTAACCGTAGAATCGTAGAATGGCCTGGGTTGAAAAGGACCATAATGATCGTTGAGTTCCGACCCAGATCAGGCTGCCCAGAGCCACATCCAGCCTGGCTTTGAATGCCTCCAAGTGGGAGAGGCAGTTTTGGCTGAAGTGCCTCAGCACAGATATTGTTGTGGTCGTGAGGATAGGGACCCACCAGTCTCTTGCTCAGGCGACCTGTCCCATCTTCTTGGACAAAAACCCAAAGAGAGAATATTTCCAAACGTAGCTCTGTCCTTGGGAAGAGATCTCACAGCTTAACTCGACTTCCCACGGAGTCTGAACTGGCTTTTTGGTGGGGTGGGAAATCCTCATAGAATCCTACAATGGCCTGGGTTGGAAAGGAGCACAACGCTCATCTAGTTTCAAGCCCCTGCTGTGTGTAGGGCACCAACCACCGGTCCGTGCCCACACATAGGCACGTGTGCTCCAGACACTGGGTCAGTGCGTGGTGGTAGGGCTGGAAGGGTCCTGCAGGAGGCAAAGAGCCAGGGAACAGAATCACAGAATCACAGAATGACTGGGTTGGAAGGGACCTCAGGAATCACAAAGTTCCAACCCCCACCACAGCAGGGCCACCAACCTCCCCGTTTCACAGCAGCCCAGGCTGCCCAGGGCCCCATCCAACCTGAACGCCTCCAGGGATGGACGGGGCATCACAGCCTCTCTGGGCAGCTGTTGCAGCCCCTCCCCACTCTCACAGCACACAACTTCCCCTGACATCCAACCTCCAGCTGCCCTCCCTCAGCTTCAAACCATTTCCCTTGTCCTGCTGTTATCTCCCCTTCCCAAGAGCTGACTCCCCTCCTGTCTGCAGGCTCCCTTTAGGTACTGAAATGCTGCAATGAGGAACATCTCATGAAGCTCCCTGTCCCCCTGCCTGCTTTGTGCACACGCTGTGTGCGTGGCTGCACAGCTGTCTGCCAGCACAGCCTGCAAGCAGCAGCGCAGACATTCATGCACGTACATGCAGAGGCACAGGCAGATGTGTGTGGACACATTCACATGCACGTATAACTCATTTTTTCCACAGATGTGAGCCTGTCTGACTGAACTCTGGTTTTGTGTGTGTGTGTGCAGAGAGGAAGGAGAAGGAAGGTTTTGTGTTCTCAGCACTCTCAATTGACTACGGTCAATGGAGTTCAATTATGGCCTTTGTCTGGCCCCAGGACCCAGGTTCTCTATCATCCACAGCGGTTAGAGGCGCTTGGAGAGGGGAAGAAGCGCCTATAAAAACCTTCTGCTGAAAGCAGTCAATTTGTGAAAGCTGCAATCAGCTCAGCCGTGATAGAGGACAAGCATGCAAACAGCCTCCATGCACAGCAGGGACAAATCCAGTGCAAAGCTCTGGTGATCAGCATCAATTTGCACAGGCTTCAGCAGCTGAGCTTCCGTTGGGGGAGAGTAAAGAGGCAAGCAGACAAGAAACAAGGTAGCATCCCTCGCTGCCATTAGAACTGGCCCGGGTGTGCAGCCTGGGGACACAATGTTGCTTATTTTCATTTTAGCCTGGCCTCCGTCTGTCCGAGGAGCTGCAGAGTTGTGTTGGAATGATTGAGGGAGGTGTGTCTGCTGTCATCTGGCAGTGCGAATAGCAATAGGCCCAGGAAGAAAAAAAGGCATGCTCCTGGTGTGGCTGTGGGGAAAACTGCACGTCAAGAGGCAAAAGTGAAAATATCCCAGCACAGTATGCTGTAATGGGCCCAGAGTGGGGTCAGGGCTCAGGAGGCAGGCATTTATCTGCCCTGTAATGGGCACAGAGTGGGGTCAGGGCTCAGGAGGTGGACTGAGCCCTGCCTCGTGGCTCAGGCAATTGTTCTGAACCACTGGAACTCACAAACCTGGCAGGATTGGACTTCTTTCACTTTCCTGAATGAGGGGAACACTTTGGGGCTGCTTTTCAGGCCCCATTTGGCAAACCTTGATGGAGAAGAGTTGTTTTCTAAAGTGTCAGTCAGGGCGTGGGGGATCGTAAAGGTTGCATGCAGTTATCCTCCAAATTGCACCACACCTTATTGGGCCTTTTCTTGCACACGTTCTCAGGAGTAGCAATCCAAGGAAAGGCATTGAGCACTGGGCCCAGGTGAACCTCATGAGGTTCAACAAACCCAAATGCCAGATCTTGCACCCGGGTCGAGGCGGCGCCCATTACAGACACAAGCTGGGGGATAAAAGGATTGAGCGCAGCCCTGCCAAAAAAGGCCTGGGGGTGATGGTGGGTGGGAAGGCAGCGCTGTGCCCTCGCAGCTCAGAAAGCCGACCTGGGCTGCATCAAAGCGGCGCGGCCAGCAGATGGAGGGAAGGGATCCTGCCCCGCTGCTCTGTGCTGCAGGACCTCGCCTGGAGCACCGGGTTCGGATGAGGAGTCCTCAGCACGGGAGAGACGTGGAGCTGTGGGAGCACTTCCAGAGGAAGGCCACAAAATGGTCCCAGGAATGGAACAGCTCTCCTACGAGGGCAGGCTGAGAGCTGGGGGCTGTGCTGATGGAGAAGGGAAGGGAAGGCTGCGAGGTGAGCTGAGAGCGGCCTGTCAGCATCTAAAGGGGAGCGACTGGAAAGAAGGGGACAGGCTCTTGAGCGGGGCCTGTGGTGATGGGCAAGGGAGACGGCTTCAAGCTCGAGGAGGGGGATTTAGGTTAGATATAAGGAAAAAATCTTTTACTGAGGGCTGCGAGGCACTGAACAGGTTGCCCAGTGATGTGGTGGGTGCCCCATCCCTTGGGATTTTCGAGGTAAGGCTGGACCCGGCTCTGAGCAGCCCAGTGTAGCTGTGTGTCCCTGTGCATTGCAGGACACTTGGACCAGATGGCCTTTAAAAATCCCTTCCAGCTCTAAGCACTCTGTGATTCCATGACTGACCGAGAGTGAGTTTGGCATAAGCACTGCTTTCTCATCGGGTAACCCCACTGCGGAGGACCCTTTTAATGCAGACTCTCAGTTTTCAGTCCTTCTCAGCACGCAGCAGTAGCTCTGAATATTGTTTTGCCCCATGACTGCCTGTGCCACTGCACACTCTTTATTCTTGCATAAGAGTTAAGACTGACAAGCTGAAATGCTTTCTCAATAACCACTTCACAGGGAAAATTACAACATGTAACTTTTCTCCTCCTTTGCCCTTCCACTGCCCCATAGGAGGATCTGCTGGACTTCTGCTATGAGGAAAGGCTGAGGGAACTGGGCTGGTTGGGCTTGGAGAAGAGAAGGCTGCGGGGAGACCTGATGGTGGCCTTCAGTGCTTGGAGGGAGCGGAGAAACAGGAGGGGAACGGCTGTGTGTGAGGGTGGGTGGTGACAGGACAAGGGGAATGGCTTGAAAGTGAGACAGGGGAGGTTTGGGTTGGATGTGAGGAGGAAGATTTTGAGCCAGAGGGCGGTGAGGCAGTGGCACAGGTTGCCCAAGGAGGCTGTGGATGCCCCATCCCTGCAGGCATTGGAGGCCAGGCTGGATGTGGCTCTGGGCAGCCTGGGCTGCTGGTTGGCGACCTGCACACAGCAGGGGTTGCAACCAGGTGAGCGTTGTGCTCCTGTGCAACCCAGGCCATGCTGGGGTTCTGTGATTCTGAATGCATGGTTCATTTTCACTCTGCAGCAGTTAATTCTGTCAGGGATCCCTTGCACGGCAAGCAGAGGTGCGTGCTGACAGCTCTGCTCCATCACTTGCTGGTAGCACACAGTCTGTTTGCTGCTCACCTCAGACGGTTTGCTTGTTACATCGGTTCATATGGTGAACTCAAATGTGTGTAGTGTGGGAGATCAAGCTGTTATCTCCAGAAGTTCAGTGAGCGAACTGAATAAATGAATTGAGGCGGTTTATTGTCTGGTGACTCCAGGTGAAATGAAATTCCTAAACCACAACAGACAAAGATGGTATCTTTTAGAATGATGGCTATGATTCGTATAAAACCACTGAGCAGAGTGGGCTCCCATTTGCTCAGGTGTTCTGACGTGGGGCTGTTAGCAGGGGCTGAACAGATGGCCACAGGTGGGAGCCTGGAGTTGCGTGCACACAACATTGTGACAGGAATAACAGGTTTCCTATTGCTGTTTTCAAATATCAGCAGCCCAGGCACTGAGCTGACAACCGAGAGAAACTCAGAATGGAAGCGCTGAGAGACAGCAGAAAATACAGACAGGAAGATTGGAAGAGGGCTGCGGTGTGGCATCTTCGCTGTAGCTCTTGTGAAATTTCCATGGCGGTTTGTTGTGTCTACGCCAGGAAATCCTGGGGTGCACTGAAAGCTGAAGTGCTTTGTGCAGATCATGAGGTTGACCTTGAGCTGAGAGATCCTTGCTGGGTAGAATTAAAATCCTTCGTTGAGAAGTGTGTACAGGAGAAGGTGGTGGGAGGGACGAGCATAGCTGTCACTGTTAATGCTCTGCTGCAGCAGGATTAGAAGGCACCAGCCATGCATCCATTGCACAGTGCAGAGCTAAAGAACCAAACACACCTTAACCGTGTTCCAGGAGATGGGTCCGTTCCCACTCTTCTTTCTAACGCAGCGTTTCCTTGAGAGCAAGCCAGCGTTTTCCATGTCCTGTTAGCATGCCAGCCCAAGCAGTTTGAGAATAGGCATCGCTGTGCTCTCCTAGAAGCTGCTCTCACAGGATGTTAGCAGCTTGTTCTGCTGTCTTTGATTTTATCAAG